TCGAACTCGAGACTTTTCGGTTTAGCAACCATGAGCCTTACCGACTCGACCACGCCGACCCCTAATTTTCTATCGACACGCCCTAATCTTCCTCTAGACAATTTTCTATCGACACACCCTAATCTCGCCAAAGAAATTTTCTATCGACACACCCTAATCTCCCTGTAGGCAATTTTTCTATCGACACGCCCTTTTCTCCACCGAGACAATTTTCTATTGACACGCCCTTATCTCCATCTAGACGATTTTCTATAGACACGCCTTAATCTCCATGTAGACAATTTTCTATCGACACGCCCTAATCTCCATGTAGACACATTTTCTATCGACACGCCCTAATCTCCCTGTAGACAATTTTCTATTGACACGCCCTAATCTCCCTCTAGACAATTTTCTATCGACACGCCTTAATCTCCATGTAGACAATTTTCTATCGACACGCCCTTATCTCCCTCTAGACAAGACACATTGTCCATTTCCTACAAATTTTAAACCATCGAAATGGTGCATCATGGGATTAACGTCCCTTAATCCGTGTATTCCTACATTATGGGTTTATCGTCCTAGCCTGCTATGACTCAAGGGCGTCTCGCGTCAAAGATTTTTTTTTTAAACCCCGCCCCACCCCGGAGACCTGTCTGTCTGCATGCACATGACCTAAAACAACAGGTAAAAAATGTGCAGGACAGGTAACTTCGGTGTAAAATTGTCTAAATGCATTACGGCGGCATGTCACGGGCAACTTATTTACGAGCAAGTACGGACCAACCCGACACTTAATCATAGCCTTGCGTCGCGGCGACGCGCCAAATTACGAGCTATGGAGGTTTAAAGAATAGGATTAAAAACTCCGCGAAACAAAAGGTATCTTGATAAAGTGTATTGGTTTATATTCTGGTTGACATTAGTGACCCGGATAAAGTTGGAAATAGATTTAGTCAGCTGTCAAAGTGACCTTAAGAAACCTTTGTAAAACTGCGTTTCTTCCAGACATTTTTTTTATTGGGGAGGGGGGAGCGTGAAACTTTGGGGTGAGGTGCACTTATAATTTTTTGAGGGGATGACATTGATTAAATTATTATATTTTTTATATAAACTATTTTGTCAGGGGTGGCGGCGGTGGAGGTGCCCCCATTTCCCCGACCGAACATATTCCTAAAAGAAACCACGTCTAGACAGCACGTGGCGTAGGCCGACATTTGACTCAGGGGGGTTCTAACCCCCTAACACCCTTTCTGCCTACGCCACTTAGTTGGGACGGCACACAACTACATTATTTACTTCCTTATTGAAGTTAACTTCTCTTTAAAATAATTATATGACCCTAACGTAAATTTAATGGACAAAAGGACATATCCATTGCGTATCGTTACACGGTCGTCAGTAGAGGGGTTGTGGTGGTGGTGGTAGGGGGGGGGGGGTCAAGAAAAACAAGATAACACAACATAACCCCCCCCCCCCCCACCAATACTGAATGTTGGAAGCTCCGTGTAAGGATTTATTTCATTACATAATACAAGCTGGTTTCTCTTATTCACACAATGCTGTGTGAATGTTAATCAGCGTAAAAAAAAAATCAAGTATTCATCACTGCGTGATGTGTAATGGTGTCGTGTTCTAAAGCAGGGAGGTCTACCACCAGTGCACCCGCACTTCATCCCCCGACCCACACAGGTGTCACGGCTGTGTGGGGACACCAGCTGTGTTGGGACGCAAGCTGTGTGGGGGACACCAGCTGTGTTGGGACACCAGCTGTGTGGGGACACTAGCTGTGTGGGGACACGTACCGGTGTCAGGTGCCACTGCTGTGTGGGGACACCAGTTGTGTGGGGACACCAGCTGTGTGGGGACACTAGTTGTGTGGGGGACACCAGTTGTGTGGGGACACCAGTTGTGTGGGGACACCAGCTGTGTGGGGACACTAGTTGTGTGGGGGACACCAGTTGTGTGGGGACACCAGTTGTGTGGGGACACCAGTTGTGTGGGGGACACCAGCTGTGTGGGGACACTAGTTGTGTGGGGGACACCAGTTGTGTGGGGACACCAGCTGTGTGGGGACACCAGTTGTGTGGGGGACACCAGTTGTGTGGGGGACACCAGTTGTGTGGGGACACCAGTTGTGTGGGGACACCAGCTGTGTGGGGACACCAGCTGTGTGGGGACACCAGTTGTGTGGGGGACACCAGTTGTGTGGGGACACGTACCGGTGTCAGGTGCCACCAGCTGTGTGTGGACACCGGCTGTGTGGGGACACGAGTTGTGTGGGGGACACCAGTTGTGTGGGGACACGCACCGGTGTCAGATGCCACGGCTTAAAAATCTGGCACTAGATCACCGTACCCCATCCACCCTAACCGCAACCCCGACCCCCACTTTACCGAATAATGTCGTGTTCCCCACCCTATTAGGACCCCCCCCCCCACACACACACTACACCTACCCCCACACATACAACCCCACACATACTCCCACACACAACACTACACCTAATCCCCCACAACACCACACTTAATCCCCACATACACATCACATCTACCCTCCACTTAACACCACACAACCACCCTCACACTTATAACACTACATTTACCCCCCCCCCCCCCACTCACCCACACAACACCCCCCCCCCCCCCCCACCCATCACACCTAACCGCCATGACAATGTCCTTGGGGAAATCCAAACGGCACCACAACAAGAAATATAATCCAAACGTTCTGTGTTCAAATCTTTCTAACCGTCGAGTTCCTATTGTGTCACCCCCCCCCCCCCTCCCATAGATTAAAATATTGTATTTCACCCGGCAAAGTTTTTACACAGAGCTTCTCCTCTTATCATAAAACCCTGGATTTAAATTCAATTTGTTTCGTTTTTTTTTTTTTTTTTTAGAAGATAACTTTAATCCCAATTTTTTTTTAAATGCTAAGAATACATGACCTTTACATAGTGAGACAGTGTTATTTTAGCGCAGGTCTTATCTGTCTTTACAAAAACAATTTGTGTATCTTACAGCTTATATATTTAGGCTTTATTGTTATTACTATATGGCTTTTTCTGTCTCAACGTCTGCTGTCTATGGTGTCGTTCAATACTCTCTAACGCCGGTTACATGGTGTTCCGATAGCTGTTTCTCCACGCCGTCAGTGGCGTAACTAGGGAGGTGGAGGGGTAGCTCAGTCCCAGGAGAAATGAAAAAAAAATGGTTATACGTGGTTCTTTTTTGAGAAATTACGTCACGCTTTAAAAACAATTTACCCCCATCAACCACGTCATACTATTATGGGGGAGGGGAGGAGTCGGACTTTTGTGAAGACACGCTTTTACCAGTGAAACTTACACTTTCTAAAAAGTAGTATTCGAAACTGAATTTTAGCCATTATATTGCATTTTAAAAGACTATTTTGTAAATTGTAATAAAAGCTGATAAAAATACCGTTATTCAAAGAAATTGCTGTTTAAAAAAAAACCCAGAAATTGCAAAACCTCAAAAAGATTAAAAATGACAGAGAAGCCCTTTTGAGTATATTCTACCAGGGCGGAACTTAAATGTCATAGATAGTGATTCGTTACGTCATTTGCAAATAAAATTCGGATCGCAAATTTAGTCAAGATTTGGTATAAGCCTAATAAATTTAAAAAAAAAGTCATTTAAAAAGCAAATAAAGTAAGCTGTGAACATTCAGCTTAAAAAAATTACTTATTTAAAAAGTCTAGGTATGACGTAATATTTTCCTCACCGCACCTTCCCATACCTTCTGACGTTTGAAAATCTGAATTCTCCCACCCTCCCCTTCCACTCTCAAAGTTTTCTCTTTTGGGTTGGACGACCCTTTAGGCTTTAAGGAGACACATAGATATAGATTTAAAAATAAAATAAATTTAAAGTGATACGTTGTTGGGACACCGCTGCCCTTTAATTTAGAAACGTTTCATTAATCGAATCTAGGCCAGCGTGTTGTTAAAAATAGCTCTCAAATGTAGGAAATTATAAATCGTGTTTGACAGTTTCCCCACAAAACTTTTACTGTTTCCGTTAGTCTATAAATCTCCCGCTTCTGTGAGCAAGGAAGTGAATATTATAGAGCTACAAAGTACAATGCGTTTTCTTCTTGTATTGAAGTCTAGATCAGTGACTTATTTTGTACTAATTGACTTATTACATCAGTTTAGTTATGTAATAAATAGGCAATAGGTAGCGAGGAACTTACTAGAATCTAATCTAGATACGAGATGTAGTGATGTAGACTAGATGGTCGCGAAGAAGTCACGAAATTGTATTTCTCTTCCTGGGGTATAAAGAAAGGGGGTCTAACAGTAGTGAAACTTTAACTAGACTCTAGTTTCTCTAGTCCGTTTACCTTTCGTTTCTCTACATTCAGGTGTGTAGGGGGGGGGGGGGAAGGGGGGGCTTACATTAGGGCCCTATAGTGCACTATACGAAATGGAAAATTATAATACGGCAGTTAGATCTAGCATCGTAACGCATGACTTAAGCACGAACTATATATTATATTATAAATGGCTTTAATAGACAGCTGTTGACGCGACTACTTTATTTAGTGTGTTGTTGCCAAAACTGTCCTAATTTGTATTGTCACAAGCAGAATGGGCGCTTTACTTAGGCTGCTAATCTACTTTATTTACTTGCATATGTCTCTACCACGCTCCCTAGACAGATACTCTACCATAAACTCTAGACATCTATACATTGTATGTAACACACAATATATTATATAACCATTAGGTTCTTGCAATGTCAATTCTATCCTCCCCCCCCCCCCCCTCCACTCCACACTCTAATCGGAGCTGATTCGTACAATTCCTGTAGCCAGTTCAGATTGAGAAGAAGATGAATTGAACGAAGACTTAAGCCTAGCTTATACACTGAGCTTGATTAGCTCTATTTGATCTGATTTTTGTATGTTGTGTTTTAGAACCCCCCCCCCCCCCCCCCCCCCCCCCCCCCACCAACTCACAACTTCTGATTTTTGTTTTTGCGTTTTAGATCCCACCAGCCCACAAGCTCTGTCCATTAGTCCTGAGAGCTCAATCTATGTTGACAACTCCACAACACCAGTCCCGTCCTCCAGCAACTCCACAACAGCCCTGTTGTACAGCAATGACACAACAACAGCCCCATGGTACAACAATGTCACAACAACAGCTTCGTCATACAGCAACGTCACAACAGCATCCCTGTTTGACAACAAAACCAGCACAGCACATGACAACAGTTCTTTTAATGGTGTCACCACCACAGCATCACAGAGCAACGTAAACAACAGTACGTCATTCTCTAACAACTTTACCACTGACAACCAAACACTTTCGGATTATTCACACACCACTGTAAACCCAGGCGGAAATACATCAAACTCTAGTTCATCAGACCATACAGCATCTACAACATACCCTACGCCACATGCAAACTTGTCAGGGAGTGACTTAAACACGACATACGGCACAGCCTCTCCTAACCTGGACAACACTTCTATCACTGTTGCCATGACAACAAGCCCGGGGCTAACATCAATGCCATCCATGGGCACTACGCATGTCTTCAACACATCAAGCGTCAACACGACATTGGCTGAAAACTACACGGAGACCTTGAAAATCTTTAACGTCACTTTCAGAATCATCAACCTCAACTGGACTGATGAGTATAAGAACAGTTCATCTGAAGGCTATGCTAGCCTCAGTCACAATGTCTCTGCATGGGTAAGTCATTACAAGGAAAATTTTAATGAGGTAATCTCAGCTAGTGCTTTGGTGGTAGTGTTACTGATTGCAAAACATGATGGGCTAGGGTTCGAACCCAATTGAAACTCAGTCTTTAGAAATTTGTTCAAGTCTGCGCAGCTCTGATGGGTACCTGGTTGGGGAAGTTAAAGACAGCTGTGAATTTTTTTCTGTTGGACAGTTCCTAAACTCTACTACAACTGCCCCTTTCAGCCTAGGTCTTGTGTAAATAATACTTAGTAATACTACTTGTACAATAGTTACCTTATTAGATCTCCACTTTACAAAAACAAATTAAATTAGAGGCTAAGATGTTCTATTCTTCTGGCCTGTTACAGTCTGTATTTGTTACAACTGGCCTGTTATATTCTATAGAAATATCTAAACTCACTGTATTTGTTATAGCTGAAATATAGAAATATAGAAATATCTAAACTCACTGTGTCTGTATTTGTTATAGCTTGCCTTTAATAGCCTAAAGAAATATCTAAACTCACTGTGTCTACATTTGTTATATCTTGCCTGTTATAGTCTATAGAAATATCTAAACTCACTGTGTCTACATTTGTTATATCTTGCCTGTTATAGTCTATAGAAATATCTAAACTCACTGTGTCTACATTTGTTATATCTTGCCTGTTATAGTCTATAGAAATATCTAAACTCACTGTGTTTGTATTTGTTAAATCTGACCTATTATAGTTTAGTCTATAGAAATATCTAAACTCATTGTGTCTGTATTTCTTGTAATTTATTGTTTACAGCTTGATGATCTATTCACAAATGTCACAACATACAATGGCTCTACAATTATTCAGTTTTCGTAAGTTTTTTCCTCTTGTCAAGTAGACCACTTGCAGTTCTATTTTTATACTAAAGCAGATAAAATTTATAGCCTTTTAAAGATAATTTATGTTTTTTATTTGTCTGGTATGAATGATGTTTGTGTTGTATTTTTTATAGAATTTTATGTTAGTTTATTGCACTATAATGTGTTAATATTAGCAATGGAAAAACCCTGTGGTAATTTTGAAAACGGAAATGGCTGGTTGAGTGTTAGAGCTCAGAGTTGCTAACCCAGAAGTTTCGAGGTTGGTTCCCATCCTTGAGGCTGTACTGTAATATCCTTAAGTCCATCAAGCTTTGAGGGTCACCTGACTACACCAAGTTAGCTGGACATAGTGCTGACCACACTATCCCCTTTTTTGTCTTATTGACTATCTGAAAATGTATCACTTTTTAATTTGACTAAACAGGTCTAGAGGCTTCCAAGAAAATGATTGAGAGTTACAATGTTAAAAAATATGTTTTTTGGATCACCCTTTTGTTTCATTGAGCAGCTAGAGTTGTGCTTATTTACCTTCAGTGTGTGAATGATTCATTTTGTCAACTGTTAAAAATTATTATAAATTTAACGTGTTTTAAAAAGTAAAAGTAAAGTTCCCTTTTCAAACCTCACGGTCTATAGGGTAAGTGAAGTAGAGTTCACTTGTTTCTGTGACCTCGGCATATGAAGAGATAGTGTGGTCAGCACTATGCCCAGCCGCCTTTACTTACCATATTGTGAGTTAGGTACCCATCAGAGTTGGGTGGACTCAGGGACGGTCTACTGACTTGAACCCGGATTCAAACTCGAGACTTACGGGTTAGCAGTCCAACTCTCTACCGCTAGACCACTGTGTAATAACTGTAATTTAAACACTTTTCCAGGCAAGGAAGTATAGTAGTCCAGCTGGAAATCAAATTTTTAGATGCCAACATGACGACAGAAGAGATAGAAAAATTGATAAACCTCACAAAGACGTTACAAATTGACGACCTCCTTGTACTTGATGGTGAGTCATTAATTAGCTGTGCTCTATTCTAGGTCAATGGTAGGGAAAAAAATTACTAATTGGGAAAAATTTACAAAAATGTAGATTGTTTACAACTTATTAATCTTACAGCATTTTAATGACAATGGTGAAAATTCGATTAAATTAATTTGCTTTGTAGGTTGAGAGAGCTTTCAAATTTCATTGTTGATCTAACATAATGTATATGGAAGTATATTAATATTTTTACTAACTTAATTTAACTAATTAATTTAAGCTGTATCAAGTATATACATTCAATGAAAATATGAAAAAGTGGAAGATAATTAAAAAACAATTTTGTAATTAGATTTACTTGCTTTTAATAGATTATATGTAAAACATAATTTTCTTGTCCCAAAAAAATAAATATGTATCATGCATGTAAATTGTATCGTCCAAAAAATTGGAAACAATTAATATTACTCTAAATTTCTTTGCCTTTTATAAAATGTAGTTTGTTAAATTTTTAGGACAACAATTAAAAGGACACCTGCTTATTTTTAACTAAAATATTTTAATTTAATTAATTTTGGTGTAAATTTTACCATCACCTTCCAAATAGTGGTCCCTATTTTTAGACAATTTAAAAACACACAGTAAATATACACAAGGTTTGATCATTTAAAAAAAAGTACCCTGTGTGTACAATGAGCCTACACAGTTCTTTCAAGTACCTGGTATTAATCAGGTCGGAAGAGGTTGCAGCTATCTGCCTCTTTAAGAGAAAGTTGATAGTATAGTTGGCACGAGGACATTTCATTTTTTAAAAATTATCTTTTTTTTTCAGAGTTGCTGACAACTACAGTGACCCCTCCAACGAGTCATCTGTCACCTTTGACAAGTGTGACATCATCAACATTGACACCACTGGTGACAACATCATCGTCATCAATGACAACACCAACATCCACCTCAGTTGTGACAACACCATCATCCCCAGCAATGACAACATCCACGTCCATACTGTCATCCACAAGTACACCACCCACCATTCTAACAACCGCAACAGCTACAGTCAGCACTACGGCAGACCCTATGATCAACTCAACAGCTGGGACCAATGGTACCATCATTGGTGGAATAGAAGTCTCCAGCACTACAGCCCAGACCCCCACACTGACCACCTCAGCCCCCACACTGACCACCTCAGCCCCCACACTGACCAGCACATCCCCCACACTGAACAGCACAGCCCCCACACTGAACAGCACATCCCCCACACTGACCAGCACGTCCCCCACACTGAACAGCACGTCCCCCACTGTGTTAGATGTTGTTGCAAACACAACGCAGATCATCAACACAACAGTCTCACCAGTTTCTAGCACACCAAGCACCAATCCTACAGATACAACTTCATACACCACTGCTACAGCTGCATCCAACACAACTAGCATAGTTATCCCCCCTACACCCGGTATAAATCATACAGATGCAACCACCAACACAACTACCACACTTATCCCCCCTACACCCGGTATAAATCATACAGATGCAACCACCAACACAACTACCATACTTTTCCCCCCTACACCTGGTATAAATCATACAGATGCAACCACCAACACAACTACCATACTTTTCCCCCCTACACCTGGTATAAATCATACAGATGCAACCACCAACACAACTACCACACTTATCCCCCCTACACCCGGTATGAATCATACAGATGCAACTTTAAACACAACTGCATCCAACACAACTACCACACTTATCCCCCCTACACCCGGTATGAATCATACAGATGCAACTTTAAACACAACTGCATCCAACACAACTACCACACTTATCCCCCCTGCAGTTGGTATAAATCATACAGATACATCTTTAAACACAACTACATCCAACACAACTCCTGTATTTAGCAATGTAACTAACACCACAACCACTTCTCCATTGATTAGCCTGACAACCACCACATTACCAACGACCACATTACCAACCACAACCAGTGGACTGAACTTGACCAGCACGCTATTCAACAACTTGACCAATGAGAACAGCACCAGCATGCCAAATATTTCTTTACCAGATCATGTGACAACTCAGTCAGCATTCAATGTTAGTGTGTGGACAACCACGTCAGTCATTTCATCACATGGGACAGACAACACGACTCAGTCCACTACAGTCAATACGACTTGGTCTATGTCTACAGTCAATACGACTTGGTCTATGTCTACAGTCAATGCGACTTGGTCTATGTCTACAGTCAATGCAACTCAGTCAACCCCAGTCAATACAACTTGGTCTATGTCTACAGTCAATGCGACTCAGTCAACCCCAGTCAATACAACTTGGTCTATGTCTACAGTCAACATGACTGAAACAGTCAACGTGACTCAGTCAACCCCAGTAAATACGACTTGGTCTATGTCTACAGTCAATGCAACTCAGTCAACCCCAGTCAATACAACTTGGTATATGTCTACAGTCAACGTCACTGAGTCAACTCCCTTAAATACGACTTGGTCTTGGTTAAATTCTACAGTCAACATGACTGAAACATCAACAGTCAACGCGACTGAGTCAACTCCCTTCAACACGACTTGGTCTTGGTCAAATTCTACAGTCAACATGAATGAAACATCAACAGTCAACATGACTGAGACAGTCAATGTGACTCAGTCAACCACTGCGACTATGACTTGGTCGAATTCTACAGTCAACGTGAATGAAACATCAACAGTCAACATGACTGAGTCAACTCCCTTCAATACGACTTGGTCTTGGTCAAATTCTACAGTCAACATGAATGAAACATCAACAGTCAACATGACTGAAACAGTCAATGTGACTCAGTCAACCACTGTGACTATGACTTGGTCAAATTCTACAGTCAACACAACTGAAGCTTCAAACATGACAGAATCAACCACAACACCCACACCCACAGCAACAACCTCCGCACCAACCCGAATCATCCGAGGCCAGTTTTCTATCACTGAGGGCTATGCCTGGAATAAAAACCTTCTAGACAATTCAAGCGATGATTTCCGAACCCTTTTTGATCAGCTCACAGAACTGGTAAGCAGCCTCTTTTCTCAGCTTAGTTATTGTTGTAAAAGTCAAATCTAAAGTTACTTTTACAAGTCCATGGTACATCATGCATATTAAATAGTGTACATGTTTCTTTGATGTTGGAATTTAAAAAGAATTGCATCTTGATCAGCTACCTTTAATATCTTTAAAGGGGATAAAATTTAAAAAGGCTTGGGTTTAGCAATGATGTTCACAACTGGATCATTCCATGATATAGATTCTAACAGTTATATCATGGCAGTTTCAGGTTTTGGAAATGAGAAGTAGTAGTAATACTACTACTTCCTACATTTACATTACTTCTTGCCTAGTTTTCATTATATTTGACTCTCTCCATCAACATTCTTGTCTTCTATTTGAAAATATTTTAAACTGCTGTGACTATCTTAACATTACTTATTGTTGGCTACACATTTAGTTTTTTATTTACTCTCCCCACTATTAACCTTGTCTGCTATTTAAACATATTTTTAACTGCTGTGACTGAAAAAATGAATGCTTTTTTCAGCTTACTAAACTATACAAGAATGTACCAGGATTTATAAACGTAATAATTAAAGAATTTCGGTGAGTTGACAAGGCTTGTTAAAAATAATTTTTTGGATTGACCAATCACTGAAGCATAGACAACCAGATAGGTTAAAGGGAGCTTTGACAAAAATATCTGTTGATAATTTTATTATTTACCAAAATAATTAATAATTGAAATTGTTGTAGTTTTTTTAAAAATTATTATTATATCTGAAGCTTGATTGTTTGTAAAATACACCTTCAAAGTACTTTTTATTCAATTTTTATTGTATTTGCAGTTATAGTCGTTAAAACTCAAAAGTGTTCAATTTTTATCGCCCATTTAAATAAGATTATGATCGTCTGTTTTCTGTACAGCCAGGGAAGTGTGGTTGTCCTGTATGAAACAGTCTTTGACGCTGCATCTTCAATGACCGCTGACAACATGACCTTGACCTTTAAAAATCATCTTCTGGAAAATAATGCTCTACTTGGAAACTTCACCATTGACGCGACCACCATTGAGCATCAAGGTATTTTTAAGATAACTGTTCAAATAAATTCTACTGTAGCAGTTGACTGGGTCAGAATCGACCTAAGCACTGTTCAGTATGGAGGTATTTTTTTTAAAATATGTAAATAAGTGCCATTACCAGTTTATAGAAAATTGGCGTTGATTTTGTGATTATTTAAATATTCTAATAATTATATAGTTTTTGGTTTTCATTTAAATAAATAAATTATATGCTTATTAAAATGTATTCTATCATTAAAAGTTATGGATTAAAAAAAAATTACATGATAAATAACTACAAGACGTTAATCAATGCACTTTTTACTTTGTCCACAGAGGTGAAAAAAAAGGAGAACAGCGATAAAGTTTTAGAGAACTGGGCTATTGCTGTCATTGTGTGCGGAGGTTGTCTTTTCATCTTTATAATTGTCTTGATTATTTTATTGGTAAGTTTTTTTGTTTCACTGCTGTACTTAAAACAGTTTTAGCAGTCAAGAAAATACTAGGCAGGATATTTCTTAAGATAATCATTAACTCTTTTACTGTAGCACGTGGGGTATTGTTAAAATTTTTGTTCAGTTTATGATTAAACTAAGCTTAGGTTAGTCTATAAAATTAGTCTTGCCTACCAGGAAGCTAAGTTAGCTGTTAAAAACTGGTGTCTTCTGTATGAGAATATGCAATATAACTATAAATTCTGAACTTATTTTAGTTGTGTAGAAATATATCAAGTCAAAAGTACAAAACTAATCAATTCTGAACTTATTTTAGCTGTGTAGAAGGTCTACGAGTCAAAAGTACATCTTCGATGATGATGATACGCAGTACCAGCGCACCTGGCCAGCCCCCTATAGATCCAACAGGTCAACCCCTGGCCAGAAAGATAACGTATACGACGCTGCGGACATGGATCACTATAAGCAACCATACGTCAACGACAATTCTGCCACCGACGACGCTGTAGAACTGGGGCATGGGCATGAGGGCAGAACAGGGCATGTCAACTATGCATATAATAATGACCCCGTAAGTTTTTTGAGTTTAATATTAAGTTTTTGATTATCAGGTTTATCAGATAGTGTGTTCAATTTGTGTCCAGAAAAAAAAATGCTTCTTAGAAGTTCAACCAGTTAAAAAGTTTAAGTACTAGCTAGGAAGAAAACAATATTAAAACAATACATAAGCAGTGTTTTACTATCAGTGTCCACTTATTAAGGTGTAGCTCCTAGATGATGTAAGGCTGTAGATCTAAAGGTAAAATATTTATAAACACAATTTCTATTACAACAACTAGCTATAACTTTTAAATTCAGTTTGATTAACAGTTTACCTGACAAGAACGTAAAAATAATTGGTTCATGCCTAACATTTCTTAAACATCTTTTGACTGTTGATTTGAAATCTAATGTATTACCTCCCTTGTTCCCATATTTTCAGTAATCATTCACATTAATTATTATTATCTTCTCATTAGTATAAAGTTTCAATTATTGCCTTTATATGAAACAATAGCAATAGTTGAAATATTGTACTTTTATTTTCCCCCTTCACTTAACCCTTCCACTGGACTAAGCTTACAATGATTAGTGTTTTATATTTAAATGTTTTTTACACTAATATCTAGGCTACTTTGATCCAAATTGATCTACAGTAGTTAATAATTATAATAATTACCGTATTTTAATTAAAATAAATATCCTATCCTCACAGAAGATTGTAAAACATTATTTAGTATTGTAGACCTTATAATTTTATATAAGGCCAACTTTGAGTTTGGTAGTGGAAAAAATGATTAAATACAATAAAATCAAAACAATAATCAGAAATACAACAGTTTTAGTGCATTTAATGTAATGTAAAATTATACTTTTGAAAGTCTTGACCGTAACATAATTAGCACAGGATCTCGTTACTACTACTGTAGATAAAGTTCTACTTTTGAATGAATGTTCTCAACATTTATCACCCACTTCTCTAATAATATGTGTGCCATTATGTTAATAATGAAAATTTTCAAATAAAAAGTTGAAATAATTTATGTATGGAACAAATATTACAAACAGATGACTCAATTGTGAAGATTCTGGGCTTGTAAAGAATAGTGTAAGTAAATCAATTAAAAAAACAGTATTTTATTCAAGAATTTTAACAAATAACTTTTACAAGAGTAGTTGTAGTATTTCTTATGTAGCCTTGATTTGATGCCATTATTATTTCATCCCTTTTTGTATCACTTTTGATCTTAAGTATAGGAAGCTTTAGCTATATGGAGATGGTGTGTGCTAGTTAGTTATGTTGTGCAAGTAGTGTGCTTTTACTATTTTTTTTAAGGACAGCAATACAATTTATGCGCTTTATCTTAGAACATACCTGTCTCTCTATGGGTTCTGTTCTATTTTATAACTCACTTTTCAACTGTTTTTACTCATAAATTAATTTCCATAGACAATGCAAAAATATTTAATTTTCAATCAAATTTGCTATAAAATTATTTAATAAAAATTCAAGGAATATTAATAAATTTATTTATAAAGGATTAAAACACAAAGTGGTAGATAGTCTTGCTCAATCACTCTGCAGATAAACACTCTTATTTTCACTATAATAGCTACACAATTTTTTTTTGGTGTATTAATAAGCTTTTTGTAAAGTTTTTTTTATTCTTGTTTGATTTCAAATACTTAATTAAGCTTGTGGGATTTGGTTTTGTAATAGTTTAGAACTGTCTCGTGAGTGCTTTAAATCCTCCCTGAAAGATTGCATGATTTTATTTTTTTAGTGAAAGAGTTTTATTTTTATTATTGAATGAGTTTGATTTATTATAATGATGGCACGTGGTCATCTGGTCATGGAACCTGGTCATACATGAGCAGAGTAGACTAAATACTTTGTGTTTCTCATGTGTAAAGAATTATTTGTGATTTCCCAGCACATTTTTATTTATAACCACCTGTGTTTACAACTAGCTCAGGTTTATTGTCTTGTTGACTGTTTTATTACTGGCCTTACAGATTTATCTCCTGTCCTTCCTGTTTTATAATGACAATTCATTATTTGAGAAATTTTTTTTTTTCTTTTTTTTTATCACTTTTCAAATGTGACTCTACAATTACACATATGTTACACATTTTTGTTTTGTGTTCATGAGGTTGCGGAGCTCAGATGGGTTTTGGAAACTGTTTACTAACATGGCTAATCTTATTTTTTAATTTGCTACAGTTTAATATATTTGATAAGTAATAGGTATCAGAAAACTATTTAATCCAAATCAAAAAGTAGAAAAAGAGCTAGATATTTTTTATACCTAGTGTGTGGAAAATAAAAATAAAACTGAAATTAATTTTTTTGTTAATTTGTGATGAAAAAAAAAATTATTTAAAATTAATTAATCAATAGATTGTCATATGCATTTTCTGTTAATTTGTGATTAAAAAAATAAACAAAGTTATTTATAATAAATTAATAAATACATTTTCATACAAATTATGTAATCTGTAAGAGATTTGATCAAAAACCTTAATTTGTTAACATATAATCTTTTTAAAATGTATTTATGCCACTGTCAGCTAATTATGCCCAAAATATTTTCCCATGATTATTAACCTTGTAATGTTCTCCATCTTACCAGGCTTATAATGGGAATTTCCACAAGAAAGATGAAAACTATTACAACAACCAGGCTGGAATTTCATTGGTCAAGTTGGAGAGAATTCCTTTTTACAGCATGCAAAACACAGTTGAAACAAGGCTCTAAGTTCAAAGTTTTTCCGTTTTCAGTTGTTCATTAACCAAAGATTTTCTTCATTTAAAAAAACAATGTTGATTATAGTAGAATTATATATAGATTTAATAGGCAAAATAATATCAGTAGATCATTTTTAAAGTTGTTTATAAAGTAGACCCACTAGAACTGCAATAAGTATAATGAATTTATAATAATGTCTCAAATATTTTATAGGAACCAAAGCCAAACATACTATGTTATCTTTAAATTAAGCATAAAGCTAAAAAAAATATATTTGTAAATAACGAAATATTGAAATGTGTTTTTTCAATGTTAAAGATATTTATAAATTATAGTTACTTTGTTAATAGCCAAACCGATTCTTCAAAAGGTTTTATATAAACCTCATTGAATACAAAAAACATATGTGAGGGTAGTTGTGGGTTATCATATCTATTTACCTTCAGCTTCATCACAAAGTTCCTTGAATTACTCTAAAACAGGGGTCTCCAAACTGCGGCCCGCGAGGTCCTCTCATCCGGCCCGCGGAGATCTTTTTGTCCACTGAAAAAACGTTTGTTGGTGATGGCTGAGGAGCTTTGCCCAGAAAAATCACTACATGCCTGGAAGAAACTGGCCCCCGAACTGAAATTTGATAGTTAATGCGGCCCTCGAACTGAAAAGTTTGGAGACCCCTGCTCTAAAACAATGTTTTTATGTGGGTGAGTCTCCCTAGCATTTGAGCTGAGGAGACTCACAATCCTGTGTTGTCAGATGTTTAACTGGAGTAAGCTTGATACAACTGATATTGTAAAGAAACTGAGAACTATTTAAGAAACAGATGATAACTTTTAATTTTGATTTAATGTTACTCCATATTCATTACATTGTAAAAATGTAGTGTCTTATATATGCTCTTGAATGTAATGAGGTTCTTGTAAATTCTTTTATAAAAAATTTAACTTATAAATATTTGAAATTTAAAATTTAGCAATTTAATGCTAGGTAAATAGGTGCCCAAATTGAAAGAATGTAATGCTTTAATTGTAAATCCCATGTTGCTATTGAAAATATGCCTAGTTACTTAATATATCTATACATTTTTAATTTATACAAGAGTGAGAAAGTAATAGTGAATGAGAGAAAATTATTTATTTATTGATTGAGCTCATATTTTTAAAGATGGACAGAAAAGGTGGGTGACTACATGAAACCTAGAAATACTCAAACTTAAGAATTATCTTTTCTTGTTAATGTTATATTAAACAAGAGAAAAAGAGTTCAGTGAACTGAAATGTCCAAACCACTCTGAACCCTTCATTGCTGGCTTGTCATTATCAATCTGGACAGTTCAGGTGTAACAGCATGGTTCATGTCATAACTGAATTATGTTAAATGCCCATGTCATTATGAATGTCAGGGGATAAAAGCCTGATGTCACTTTCTTCAATTTACAATTGGGCGTAATCTAATATTGACCCATACCGTTATTGTTGTTAGCGAACAAATGGACTTTTAAATATCATATGTCCATTCTGTTACCTGACATTTCAAATGTACAGGATGTTTCAAATGTCACCTGTATAGTGATATTAACAGACATTTCAAATGTCATATGTGTATATTACTAGGCATTTCAAGTGTCATTTATGTAGCAATATTACTAGACATTGCAAATGTCACCTATGGAGTGATATTACTGGACATTTTAAATGTCATATGTCTATACTGTTACAGGATATGTTGAGTATTATTACCGGGCCTATCCGTTATATTTTGCTAGTGTTTGATATAAAAGCGCAGACAGTATTTTATATTGTACCATGTTGCATACATTTATTGAAGCCTTTCTCAAGAATTATTCCCCTATAGAAACAGAACTATGTAAAACTAAACAAAATATAATGGCTCTGAACATGTTAAGAGGATTAATTGATATTCTTAATCTACTAATTTTAAGATATTTTATTCAGTTTCCTTCTTAAAAATTTATTGACATTTGTTTCAAGCCTGTAATCAATTTTTCAATTCAAAAGCAAAGTACAATATGTTAAATTTGGATGACTATCTATAAAAAAAAAACATGGATACTAATAGCTGTCCATATTTTTATCAGTTTGCTTGATACTTTTTTCAGTTTAAAACTGCTCAATCATGAAATAAAAATTGTGTCCCCCATAGTCATTAATTTACAAGATATTTATTAAACTGTATGGGTGGTATAAATAGCTTATTTACTTGTATTGATCAAATATTGGTCTTTATTGTATTGTAAACCTTTTATTTACTGTTTCTATTATCTGCCTCTAGACATCTCATATTAAGTAGTTGTATGTTACACATCATCACCAACATCCACACCAACATCCTCATCATAGTTGTTGGATCTGTAATTGACAGTTACATGCCACCGTCCTTACATAGGGAAGTTGTAATAAATTGTTCCCATTCCACAATGAAAACTTTGACAAACACCACTTACGTGGGGAAGTCAGAATTGTTCACTCCTCCCCGTAATAAATTTTTCCCATTCCACAATGAAAACTTTGATCTACTTGACATTATTGACAAACACCACATCTGGTGCCCAGTTGTTCATCTGTTTTATAACCATGACAGACAAGTAATGGAACATTTGTTGTTGCAACTCATTCCATTTTCTCTAAATTCCTGATTGGTCTACAGAGTTTCTTTCCACTTAAGTAATTGTTTAGGTATTTAGGGTATACCAGCATATTGGTAAAAAAATGTAGTTTCTCTCTTGTCCTATTACTCTACTACTACTCATGGGATTTGTGTTTTATGGTTGTACTAAATAATTAAAATAATGAATTTTTTTCTACCACTAACATAATTAATTTGATCCTTTTTCATATAAAGCTCCCTCTTGAATTGTGAAAGGTAATATTGAGCTGTACTTTGTTCTATAAATAGACCACATGACCAATGATGTTTCTTCTATTCATATTTACAAAAATTTTAACATTCATTTTGTACTTTGTAAATTTATGAAATGTAAATACAAAATATTTAGTGTTATATACTTCATGTTTTATTTAACTTTTATATCAATTTATGCAAGTATACAAAAAACTTTTTTTCCCATTTAGCCATGACAAATTTCTATGTAACCTAAACTATTGTGTATATCCTAGACCCTAACTGAAGACGTCAATCACTGAAAAATGTGATAGCCTTTCTACTAATCAACCAAGAAAAAATTAATACAATCTGTTGCTGTGTCTATAGTTGTAGTAGCTAGAATATATTTTCAAAACTAAATTCATTCCTTTGAGCTGCCTATGTTGAATGAGTTCCTGATATGATTGGAATGTGTTATGCCTTAGCAAATGATATCTCTAAATCCAAAATATTTTTAAATTGTAGTTTTTTTCCAGTTGATTGGGAAAGTGAAAAATATTAATAAGATTTAACATCTTTGAAAAATTGTTTATTATGATTCAATATTTTACTTTTAGTGTAGATTCTGATATCTAGCTTATTTTGCTCTATAACTTTCTTACATATACTATGTACATCTGACATAGGCCTTGAAATTTTTGCATTAATCTTAAAAGTCTTGGCATAATTTAACATGTCATATTGACATAATAGCAGCTGACAAATAAACTGTTTGACAAATTGTCTTGTGTTTTTGTTTAGTGTTGTAAACTTTAATCAAATTACAATAGTATTACAACTATTGGTAATGTATGAAAAGGGAAGGGTCTACTTTTTTAAGTTTTGAAAAGTTGGGAAACATTGGCCTAATATGAAAAATGTTTGAAACAAAAGTGTGTATGGCCATTAAAGTAAAGTCATAAATATCATCTTCATACAATAACATAAAACTAACTTGTCAGTTTCTCTAAACACATCAGATGGGAATATGTGACTGCTGCAGACAACTCCATTCATCTTTGGTATTAAAACATCCAATATTTTCTGTGCTTTCTTGATCTCAAATACTTGGCTGGTTTAACACTATCTATTAGCAGGGATGTAACTCTATATTTGTTGAAGAATCTTTATTTTTCACTTTGAAGAAATTCTTGTTCTGACAGTTTAATGGGGGAAAAAAAATTGTAAACTTGGGTTTCAAGTTAAATTTCTAAAATGTAATTGTGATACTACAAGTTACTGCTTAGGCAAAAGATATCAAACAGTTACTTTGTCTTTCCTTTAATGATCAAATTAATGATACATCTTTAAGTGTAACTATACATTAATAACAATTAATACACCAAACACAAAGGTCTACTCTAGAAAGTGTGTAACAAAAACAATGGCAGTTGTTATATCTATACAGAGAGACATTTAGATTAGTTGTGACTTGAACATTAACCAATGATGTCACAATGGCATAATTAGGAGTGACACTCCGTGACAGTTGTTTCAACTTATTTTTCTTCTGGGGGGGTGGGAGGGGGTTGGTCTCCAAAGAGATGCCTGGAAGGAACTCTGTATGCTATAACACCACCAATAGACGTTTATAAAGATTAGTATAGGCTGTGCTATGGGGAGGATGATATATAAATATATATCAAAATATTTAAAAATGAATGTGTGCGTCCCGTATGCATCTCTACACCTTTCAACCGTTCGCCATGAAACTTAAGGGATTTGGTGAGAATACTCACGGGAATGTTTCTGTGAAAAATAAAAAATTCAATTTTGCGTTATCAGAGGAAGTAACCACGCTTAGATTATTTAGCAAAAAGTATTAACTTGGTTGTTTCCCTTTCTCCATAAAAAAACAAAAACTTCTAAAACAAAAAAAAAAGCTTAAGTCTTTAGTTCTAAAAAACATTCAAGTGCTCCAATAAACGAGAGAAAAAACAGTATGTAATACTGAAACACTAACATAGTTACTGATATTTCTACCAATTAAATAATGAGAAAGCTTGCAATAAATAACTTTAAAAAATTACTGCTTATGCAGATACGTCGCCTTGGAGATTGTTTTGGTACATTTAGTCCCCTTCACACACTCAACAAAACACACTGACCTTATTGAGAAACAATATCCGGTATGATTTTCAACAGCTTGTAGTTTGATCAATAATTGCGTCTATTACATGTGTAACATTTAAGTCAACTAATTAGCACACTTCAAATTATGCTTTTAACTCCAAGCGAAAAAATAATGCGTTCAACCGCTCTTATTAAAAAAAAAATATGGTAGGTCAAGATACCACTGTATTGATTGAATTCAATTATTTCTTAGAGTAGGCCCCCTATTATTGAATCTGAGACCTATTGAACATAAATACTTGCTATTTCGCCTGCAAATATTGTGACAGTCTTCTTCTTCTTCTTCGTTCTTAATTGTGAATATGGTGGAGGATTCAGACAACAAGTCCAACTTCGTGGACAAACCGGACTGTGGTCTCCAGTTTGGCAGGTGCCCCATATACTTTTTCCCTGAGTGGGGTGGGCAGGGGCCAGTGTCTGACTCGTGCCTGGCTATACAAAGTACATTCTTGGAGTACGTGCTCCGTATTTTCCGGGGCCTTGCCACAAGGGCACATTTCGCCACACCCAACCTTCAGTTTTCTGTGCATGTGTTGATTTAGTCTGTTGTGGCCTGTTCTAAGTCGAAAGATTATGTATTGTTGTTTTCGTGTTAAATTATAATAGCCGTCGTCTTTATTGTAGTGAGGGTGTGTGACAGTGTTACCTAGTGTTTCTTTTAGGCATCCATCACACCCTTAACAAAATATCCCCCAAAAGTTTCAAGTTATCTCTTCGCCCCCACCCCTACAGAGTTTCTTCCAGGAATCTTATACTTTTACTAGTCTCCGCATCCCCCCCCCCCGGAAAATTTAGTCCCCCCTCCCGGAGAAAAATGTCTGTGTAAGAAACACTACCCCTCTATCCCAGAAAACAGAAACCCATCTGAACCAGAGTTACTTCCAGGCATCACTTCTGGGGGCGCCCCCCCCCCCCCGAAGTAAGTCTATCGACCCCCGCCCCGAACGAAATGGAATTTATATAGAAAGTAGGCCTATATACTTTTAACAGTGTCCGCCCCCCCCCCCCCCCCCCCGAAAATTTCAAGTCCCCCCCCCCTCCAGGAGATAAAAGTCTGGAAGAAACACTGATCTGGACGAACCCTTGAGGCGAGAGATAAGCGAGCTAAATTCTGGCCAAACTTTTTATCTTTAGTCTAATGAGTCTAAGGTATGAAGTTTTAAAATCTTGAAATCTTAAAAGTTGTACACACTCAGTATTCAGAGTGCCACCCTCTTTAAATCGCCTTAGCTATATATTTATCTGATGACATGTATGATCCAATACTCTTCGTCTCTACACACGAAAGTGAGTGCCCATCACTTCCAATCCCTCTGAGAAAGTGTTACATAAACATGGGGTTGACTGCTCCACCACAAAAGACCTTTTGAACTGAAAAATGAAAAGGGTTTATACTTTTGCTCTTATTATTGGAACGTTATTGAGTCTTGATCTAGAAACTCGATCTACTTAGTTTAAAACAAGCCCTGTTGTTAATTAAAATTTTTCGAAGGACCTAATAATTATTAACTAAAATTTTCTACTTTGTGGATTAGCGGAAATGAAGATAAAGATCTAATCTAGAATCTAGATCTAGATCTAGAATCTAGTAGATGTAGCTTATTTCCGTAAGACTGTAAATTAGATTTCGTTTTTTTTTTTTTTTGCGTCTGTATTGGTTTTAAGATTTTCGTTAAATAGACTGACTGTAAAACGCTCGGATTTCGATTTTCCATTCTAACTGCATAACTACTAGCAACGAGTCGAGTACGTTTCTACATTTACATTTTACAGTAATGTCACAACACACAGTGAGTATGTCAGTGTATAAATGGTTCCATATAGACTTCTAATATTTATTAGGCCTAGATCTATAGTTTATTCTAGTTAATTAATTTTAATAGATCTAGTTGAAGTTTACAATGTTTTGTCACATTCAAATTGTCATTGTGCTGTCCTGCTGTGGAGTGGTGACTCCAGAGTAGACTGGTGTGCGTGTGTTAACTCAACTGTACTGTTACTCTGCTGTTACTAACAGTCAGTAACAGTAACAGCGGGTACATGACAGAGTGAGTGTAATCTAGATTCTAGGTAGATCTAGAGGGAGAGGCGTAGACTACACTTACTGTAGTATAGTCACACTGTCACTCACTGTGACTGACAGTTGTGTGTCACACTCTGTAGTAGTAGTAGATCTAGTACGACTAGTCTAGTAGTAATTTAATTAAGTTTAGTCTAGAATCTCAGTTTAATAGGAATAGGCCTAGATCTAGATCTAGAGCTATAATCTAGCTAGATTAGACTTTAAAAAAGTTTAGAGTTTAGAGACTTTAGTTAGAGCTAGAGACTATACGTCACTATAGTGTGTACATGTCTAGATTGGCTGTAAATCTTGATCTCAATCTCTCAATCTAAAGTCTAGTCAAGCTAGCAGCTAAGCTAAATTATTAAATTTAAAATTAATAGACCTAATATAATAGCCTAGCTGCTCTAACCCTGATTAAATTTAAATGATGATTTAGTTAGTCTAATAATAGTAGTATTAATAGTTAGCCTACTGAGCAAACACAACCACCAATGCGACTATTTTATATTATAAAATTAAAAATATTTAATAAACGACTAGAGTTTAGATATAGTGGTAGATCCCAGTATTAGTTATCACTATACTATAGATTAAATAGGGACAAAGTGGCTTAGCAGTAGAGAGCTAGACTGCTAACCCAAAAGGGTAAGTTTTGAGTTCGAATCCTGGTTCAAGTCAATAAACCGTCTGAGTCTACCCAGCTCTGATGGGTACCTAACTCATTTTAAGGAAAGTAAAGGCGGCTGGGCATATTGCTGACCACACTATCCCTTCATATGTCGAGGTGTGGTTAAGTGACTGGTAGATCGCTTGAATGGTTAAGTGGTAGATCGCTTGAATGGTTAAGTGGTAGATCGCTTGAATGGTTAAGTGGTAGATCGCTTGAATGGTTAAGTGGTAGATCGCTTGAATGCTAGCCCAAAGGTGTCAAGTTTGGATCTGGATCCTGACTCGAGACTGCTGGAAGTTCACCCAACTCTAGCTCTAATCAATGGGTATCTGGTAATCTCTTCATCTGCCCTATGGATTGGATCTTTAGGCCTGAACGGGGAACTTTAATTATTCGCTAGATTTACCACCATCAGTTAAAAATGTTGAGATATGCAGATACAAAAAATAGATCCTAGTCAAACTAGTCTACAAAATTGTTTATTTTTACTGAATGCGTAATACTGAGTGTAATATTAATTAATATGATAAATTAATTCGCTAGACATGCCAGGATGTCAATTATTTATCTTTTATATTCATTTATATGAAATGTGCTTAATTAAGTAAGAATTATTGTAAAGTACCAAATTTTTCTCTCTCACAGTTAATAAAAATGATAAGTATATCTATAATATTTGTAAAAATGAGATAAAGTCCTAACAAGAATCTTTCTTTTAGTCTGATTGTCCAAGATTGTGTGATGGTTATAAGAATAATATTGATAGATTTCTCAGTCACATATACTGTTTATTATTTATCTGAACTAACATTTAAAAACTTTTTCTGTACAAACCATTTAGACAAATCAGCCAGGCGGGGATAAAAGAAATGAAACAGACAAGGAAAAGAAGAAGAAGGAAAGCATCCTAGACCTGAAGAAATATTTGGACAAGCCAATCCGTGTCAAGTTCAGTGGAGGCAGAGAGGGTAATTATGTTTACACATTTAGGGGATCTGCATTTTTTTAGTCAAAATATCTGCTTAATAACACTAATCTGTTTCTTTTTTGTTTACTCAAACATGTCTTTTTGATGACAGATAGTAAATTGTTTTGAAAGGTTTTTTTTTTTTAAAGATTAACATTGTAATCAGTTTTGCAATATATAAATAAAGAGATAAGGAAGTAAAACTTTAGATTCTTTGTTTAGTGTCCATTGCTAATTTACTTCTTTTGTTGTGGTAGCTTATAAATATGTAATTAAGCCTCTTCCTATTTTTATTGAGTTGTAATTATTGCTATGTAGGTTCCTCATTCAGCAAGCTGTTTCTTTTTGGTAACAAAAAACATTAGCTGTACTGACATGTTGTAGTAAGGGAAATAACTGGTTACAATATATTTCTTTTGTTTTAGCTAGTGGTATCTTGAAGGGTTTTGATCAGCTCTTGAATCTTGTACTCGATGGAACAACAGAATATCTCAGGGGTAAGATTTATGACAGATTTAACTTTTTTTTTAAAGGCCCATTACTTCTTTTATTTTTTTTTTCAGTTTAAATCTGAAGGCATAAATTCTGCATTTAAATTATAAACTTTCATTTTGGAGATTGCTTCTAACCTTGGCCTGTGTGTTGTGACTCTCACTTTGGAACCTGGCAATTCGTGGTGTAGATGAAGTAGAATTAACATGTTTCTATGACAGTTGCATAAGAAGGAACAGTGTGGTCAGCACTATGCACAGGGTTCGTACGCAGTCTGGAAAGTCTGGAAAAAGTCTTGAATTTAGAAAAGTGAATTTAAGACTTTAAAAAGTCTGGAAAATCGCTAGTTTTTGGGCTGGATTTTTTAAAAGTCTGGAAAAAGCCTGGAATCTAGTCTCCGAATAAAAAATTGCGATTTTTAAGTGAATTTACTCCAATTTTTTCCCTGCGCTGTCGCGCGGGTTTACACTATGTTGTGACGTTTTTCGCTGGTTCGCAGAAGAAAAAAAAAACGGATGCTCAGTTACTACGTCATTGGGACAAGAGGGGAAGGGAGGGAAGAGATATTTTGTGGCACGACTGACCGTGTGAATGTGTTACAAGTACTTACAATTGTCATTTAATGAAAGAGTGATCGCCCTCAGAATTGTTAGGCTCTCGATTTTACCCGCTATATTTTCATCGTTTGAGTTTGCATGCAGGCAGTCACAACAAAAAATTATGGGGGAGATGTGTGAGTGGTAGTTTAGATATAATTTATCAGTCTGTAAGGCGTCATCCATTTATGTCTTACAAATTTTTTTTTCGGATTTTAGACCCCCCCCCCCGCCCTCTGTCCACACGCGTTCACTTACTTTGTATTAATATTAGCATTTATAAGATTAATAAGCCGCAAGGCCTCCTTGGGGTCATACCTGTATTTTTGTTTGCTTCAGCTTACCTAAGAGGTACTATTTTTATTTAGGAGTCGTCCATAAATGACGTCACACTCCGGAAAGTCGGGAGGAGGGTTTTATAAAGTGTGATGACACCCTCTTGCAATAATGTTAGGGCAGATATAAATACTTTCTACTCACAAGATACACGTTTTATGTTTGTTTTAGAATGTAATCACAAAATCTTCCGACCCCTTCCCCCCTCCATGTGTACGTCATAAATGGATGACCCCTTTAATTTTAATCCACCTTCCATTAAACTGTTATGAAATCTTTGCAAATGCTGAGGATTAAAGTTAGACTACCCCACCCCTCCTTGTAACATCGGTCACTTGTGTGAACTTACCGTGACCCCAAGTGGGTTGTTGGTACTGCTTGGTAAAGGAGGGCGGGGGAGGGGGTATAAGTCACAGGCATATTGAAGTCTAGACTACTATGACCTCACAGTGACCCCTTCACCGTGTCTTGTGTGTCTGTGGGGGGGGGGGGAAGGATACCGGCAATTTTTTTTTTATTGCAGACCCATTTCTCAGCTATTACTATAAGCACAAACAGTGAATGATGTGGTTTTTTTTTTTCTCCTCATTTTTTTTTTACAAGTAGCCTATATTAGGCTACTTAACAAGAGCAGACCTAAATTAATACATTACATTATTATTCTTTAATTAACTCTCACTATTATGCAATACCATTTTAATGATAGTTTAATTGAAAACATAAGCAATTAGATCATGAACAGATTACATAAGTCTAATGTTTAAAACAAAATAGCTGCATCATTTTAATCAATTATTTTAATTATTAACATTTTAGGTGGAGTGGAGTAGGCAAACTTAGAAAAGTGATTTTCTGTCAATTTGGCTAGAGAAAGATTAATATAAATTTAGCTCAATTGCCTAAAATAAATGTCAATTTAGTATAAGTAATTATAATGACAGTACAAATAGTGCATCATTTTAAAAAAATTATTCGCTAACACATTATATGTCTAAAGTCTGGAATTTTTCCAAAAAAGTCTGGAAAATGTCTGGAATTTCATTTTCAAAAAGCAGTACGAACCCTGTATGCAACTACCTTTACTTAACCTGAGTCAGTTGCCCATAAGAGCTGAGTGGACTCAGTACCATCCATAGGATCCAAACTTGAGATTTTCTGGTTAGCTGTATTTCCCTCTATTATCTGATCACAGGGTCTCTGTTTTGAGGAGCTACTTTCTTTGTATTTTGAATAATTACTTCAGAATGTAATCAAACATTTTCAATTTTAAAATTTTACATTTTTAACAAATTTTTTGTTACTTGACAGATCCAGACGACCCCTTTAAACTAACAGAAGATACTCGGTCACTAGGGCTCGTTGTCTGTCGTGGTACGTCTGTTGTCCTCATCTGTCCTTCTGATGGCATGGAGGCTATAGCCAACCCTTTTGTCCAACAAGAGTAGATCATTTAAAAATATAACTTGTGAATGTGTTCATGTGAGAGGTTGCTGATGTGTTAATTGATGGAATGGTTGAGTGATGAGCTAGTGTACAGAAAGTGATGCTTGTTTTTATATCATTTCATGTTTCTTTTCTTCAAATGATTCATCCCATGCCCATACATTACTAAATTAAATAGCAGGTTGTGTTCATTTCTACACCTGTCTAAAAAATGTGTCTGACTCTGAAATTTTATAACTGTTACATTTTAAGTTGATTTTGTTTGTGTAAGAACTTGTACAAATGACATACATAACAATCAAAACCAAAGTTAAAAGTATAATTTTTTATTATTAAAAATGTCGTGTTAAACATGTACTACTGTTTTATTGCGCTGAAACAGTACAAAGATGTGTGTAGAAGACATACATACCCATGTTTTAAATAATAAAAAAAAAAGTTTTTCACACAAGTCAATCCTGCATACTTGTTCTTATTTCTCTTTTACAATTTCATATTTTCAAACTGTGAAAATGACAGTAGCTCTCACATTAAAATTTTTGGTAGATGATTCTCCATTAGTTATGTTGTACGGAAATGTTTAAGTAAAATAAAGTAACATAGATGATAACTTGGTTACATCACAGATGGAATAAGGAGTTGGACTTGAAGTAGATCAAACACTGAACTGTGCCTTCAGGTGCATAATTGTTTTGATTGCTTGTTTAATTAATGGAAGTTTGATCATGTGGGGGGGGGGGGGTCAAGACAGGTTGATGCCTATGTTAGAGGGGTTATTGCTAGCATTCATTATTGCTTTTAATTTAGATGACAATTGCTATCAAAAAAATTAATGTAACTAAATCTAGTTATGTGTATTGTACATTTGTTTTTTTTTATTCTTACACAACTAGAAAAACTGCGCTTTAAAAACCTTTAATGTAAGGAAACTGTAAAGTGTATATTTGGTTGCTTGCTACTTTATCTTTTAATAAGCAAAAATATTTTAAAGTTGGTAATTATAACTGATGAATATCTCTCAATATTTGTTTAAAGGGTTTATGATACATTGACTTGTTTAATGCTGGATTTGTCTCTAAATTGATAATGGATTAAAAATATTATTTTTCCTTTTAATAAATCATTGAAATTAAGTTTTTACTAATTGTATATGAGTCTTAATTTTACAAATGAATACACATAATGTAAAAGAGACTGGGAGTTTGCTGAGCAAACTCCCTTTAGCTAATTGATTCTAAAACTTTTGTAATTTTAAAAGCGTATTGCGTCTACTTCTTAACATTTGAGGTACCAGGAGTTGATCCTATTATAAAGTGAAACACATCCAAGCTAGATTTGTTTACTATTTCAAGCTAATACTTTCTCCAAGATAAAGAAAAAATAAGCAATTACCTAAAGAAAATCTGAAATCAAATATAAATGTAGATCTAAATGGTGTGCAGTACCCACAAAATGTAATACTTGAGATTCTATATCAAACAGGGCAGTGATAATAAAATTGGAACCACACAGACGAGCATGCATGTTACACAATCACTTGACATGGTACTTACAGTATAAAACTTACACAGCAATATGAAAACACGGAAATGTGTAGAGAAATAAATACTGAAAACATTTGTACATTGTTGAAATCACACAAAATTGTGGTTGTTGTATACAGCATAAAATGAGTCAATAAACTGAAATAATAATATCAAATAAAAACAAAGCTAATGGCATATAATAAAAATAATGGAATATTCATAAAGTATTAACTATGTCTAATGTCAGTTTTTTTAATGAGTACATAAACTGAAATAATATCAAATAAAAACACAAAACTAAAGACATCTTAATCAAAATGATGGAATACTCATGAAGGATTAACTCTACTGTGTTTAACCCAGTATTTTCACTAGTGAAGACAAATGTCAGCATATTGTAATGTCATCTACTGAGGTGATTGGCTAAAAACTAGCCAATCAAACGAAATGAAAGACTGGCTGATAAAACTAACCAATCAGACGAAATAATGGACTTGCTGCTAGCTGACCAATCAGACGAAATGATTGGCTGAATGGAAGGTACTACCACTGCAGTCAGTAAGTCCTCAGATAAAATCTACAGCCTCAGTAGATGTGATATGTTTTTAGCATGAAAAGTTTCTTCTGTTCAACTTTGACCCTGAGTAAAAAACAACTGAATCAGGAATGTAATACTGCATCTACCGCGAGTCTAGATCAGCTAGAGAGGCAGAGTTATGGTAGCTTTTAACTAACACCTATTTAATGCTTAGCCGGTGTCGTGTCAATTGCTCATGGAGTCAGATATTGCCAAGATATTCCAACCAGTTTAAAAAAAAAACTTGTTAAAATAAAAAATTGTTTAACAGGTTAAAAAAAGGTTTCTTAAAAGAAACTAATAAACTAAAAATTGTCAATATCATAAAAAATATTTTTGTCAGTTTTATAAATTATACTATTATTATTATGCTTAAATTAAATTGTATAAAATGTATGAAATTTGCTAATTAAAAATAATTGGCCATAGTGATTAAATTTTGTCACTCACTAAGTATTTAATGAATGAGTTGAGTTACACTAGAAAATAGACAATTTAAGAAAAAAAAAATTCAACATCAATTCTGTCCCTTTGTACAGATACAAAAATTGAAAACACATTGAAAACATTCCATCACACTTGCATAATTTTTTTTTCAAACAATTATTCACAGTTTCGTTGACCATTCATTACTGGTTGCGTGATAATGAAAAGTGACATAAAACAACTGGAAGTGACCTCACGAAAATAATGATGACCTCAGCAGGGGGGGGGGGGAGCAGAGGTTTACATGGAGGTCAACAGGACATCAGCAGATTGTCATCTTAGATTGGGGGGGGGGGAATCTTACAGTGATTGGGGAGACAAGATTAGATTTTGTAAACTTACTGTCAATTTGTTTACATTATGAGATGGTCACATGACATTAAGTTTAAAAATAAAGTATATTTTGCCAACAGTTTGGACATTTTAAAATAATATTTTTTTACCTGTAGGTGAATAAGTTGGATCATATACAGCATTAAATTATTAACTGTGTTATGAGAAACCAGATTTTAATTATTAATTAGCTATTGATATTGGTTTTAACATTTCCTCTCAAAATTAATCAGCTAAATGACCATCTAACCCGGAAAGAGGCGGAACACAATTTATTTTTGTTAAATTGATAACTCAAAGATCTTTCCAACAAATGACTACATATAAAATGTAGCAAAATAATACATCATTCCACAAGATTCTCTCACTTTATGGCTTCAGATGGTCACTGGGCAACTGGTTGGGTAGATTGTTGAATAGCAATTTTTGTGCCAACACCTCTGGTTCAAATTACTTAAACTTTCCAAACTTTTAAAGTTGATTGTGTATTTGACAGACTTTAAGTCCTGACTGTGTACAGGCAATATTTAAACTAAAAGAATGAATGAGGATGTCATGTACTGATGGGTGTGACCAAGGTACTTGGGGGTGGTGGCTAATGTAGGCTATCCAATGCTGCGTTGAACCTCAGTATATCAATCAGTGTCATGCCAAACTGCCTCTCCAGGCTGTTGTGGAAATACTCTGGCGCCTGGGGAGGGAAAATGGAGAGGAGAATTTAGGATACTGGTAGACTATAGAAAATATTGGACATGAAAGTACTAGTTAAAATGCAAGTATACTTTGAAAATTTTAGACATTTATAATACCAGTGAATCTTTTCTGATATTTATGTTAACCTGTTACTAAAGATTACTCATACATTACCAAAGTTTGACACACTATACATGTTTGACACTAACACACTACACACTTTTGATATACTACAGTCAGCCATTCCTAACAAAACAAATCTATTTTTATTCTGTGAAGAGTTCACAGCTTGAGATATTTGCCTTACCCTTTCCCTCATTGCCTTAAGCTGCCAGATAAGTTGCCCATCCATCTGAGAGAATGCTGTAGTTAACCTGAGGTAAAACAGCATCAAGTTCAGCTCAGACAAGTTCAAAGAGAAGCATGAAGCTAAGAGATATTCAAAGCTGTATCTCACCTGTAGCTTTAGATATAACACTAAAAAAATATTTTTAAAGCACTAAAACTGATGTTAAGCTCTAAGGTATTGAGTTTAAAAGGTGAAATTACACTTGGAGATAAAACAAAAGTGTTATTATCCCAGTTTATGTTGACTTATTAAACAAATTATGACCAATTAGTTGACTGACAATGATGTCATACCAGTTGCCTTTGAATTAGGCAAATTATGTGATAAATCTTAAACTGACAATTCACCAGCCTAGCTGACTGACCAGTTGACTGACCAGTTAGACTGATCTGTTAGACTGACCAGTTGACTGACCAGTTGACTGACCAGTTGAGTGACCAGTTAAACTGACCAGTTAGACTGACCAGTTAGACTGACCAGTTAGACTGACCAGTTAGACTGACCAGTTGACTGACCAGCTGACTGACCAGTTAGACTGACCAGCTGACTGACCAGTTAGACTGACCAGTTGACTGACCAGTTAGACTGACCAGCTGACTGACCAGCTGACTGACCAGTTAGACTGACCAGCTGACTGACCAGTTAGACTGACCAGCTGACTGACCAGTTAGACTGACCAGTTAGACTGACCAGTTAGACTGACCAGTTAAACTGACCAGCTGACTGACCAGTTAGACTGACCAGTTAGACTGACCAGCTGACTGACCAGTTAGACTGACCAGTTAGACTGAGCAGTTAGACTGAGCAGTTAGACTGACCAGTTAGACTGACCAGCTGACTGACCAGTTGAGTGACCAGTTAGACTGACCAGTTAGACTGACCAGTTAGACTGACCAGTTAGACTGACCAGCTGACTGACCAGTTAGACTGACCAGCTGACTGACCAGTTAGACTGAGCAGTTGAGTGATAAGTTAGACTGACCAGTTAGACTGACCAGTAGAGTGACCCACCTGTGTAATCCTTTAGAGACCAGCCAGTTCTCCACATTTTCATTGCTCATGGCCACACAAGCTGCGTTGTTGTTGTTGGGGGAGATGGGCTCAGGGCTGGCCAAGTTGGCCTTGGTGCCTGTGGTGGGAACATGGGCCACATCCACTTCATCTGGTGGATGGATGGATGGCCAAGATTTGTTATAGGTGTTACTGGTGTGAGTGTTTAGCTAGGTAATTAACAAATGAGCCACATCTAGTTTATCTGGTGGATGGATAGCTAAGATTTATTAGGTGATTGTGTAACAGCTTAACTAGGTAAACAAAAATTTGTGAGAGTGGTTAAGCTGGTGCTAGGGGTAAGAGTTTATATGACAAATGGATGTATCAGTCACTTGGATCATTAGAGATTTTGTTTGCTAGATGATAAGTTTAGATTAGAGCAGGGGTTCCCAACCCTGTGACCGCGGGCGCCATGGCGCCCGCTGAACGATTTGTATGTTTGCGGTTATGTTTTGTATGTTTGAGGTTATGTTTGCTAGATGATGTCTTTAAATTTGAGATTTTGTTTGTTACATGATATCTTTAAATTAGAGATTTTGTTTGTTAGATATCTTTAAATTAGAGGTTTTGTTTGTTACATATCTTTAAATTAGAGGTTTTGTTTGTTACATGATATCTTTAAATTAGAGATTTTGTTTGTTAGATATCTTTAAATTAGAGGTTTTGTTTGTTACATATCTTTAAATTAGAGGTTTTGTTTGTTACATGATATCTTTAAATTAAAGATTTTGTTTGTTACATGATATCTTTAAATTAGAGGTTTTGTTTGTTACATGATATCTTTAAATTAGAGGTTTTGTTTGTTACATGATATCTTTAAATTAGAGGTTTTGTTTGTTAGATGGCATCTTTAAATTAGAGGTTTTGTTTGTTACATATCTTTAAATTAGAGGTTTAGTTTGTTACATATCTTTAAATTAGAGGTTTTGTTTGTTAGATGGCATCTTTAAATTAGAGGTTTAGTTTGTTACATATCTTTAAATTAGAGGTTTAGTTTGTTACATATCTCTAAATTAGAGGTTTTGTTTGTTACATATCTCTAAATTAGAGGTTTTGTTTGTTACATATCTTTAAATTAGAGGTTTAGTTTGTTACATATCTTTAAATTAGAGGTTTAGTTTGTTGGATGGCATCTTTAAATTAGAGGTTTAGTTTGTTACATATCTTTAAATTAGAGGTTTAGTTTGTTACATATCTTTAAATTAGAGGTTTTGCATAACAGCTTACCTTCTACTGGGATGCTGTTGGCTGATGGATGTGCTGTCCGACCCCTCCCCCTCAGCTCCTTTAATAAACCCTAAAACAAATGTAGAAATGTAGCAAGGTTTAATCTGTGTTATAAATGTAGGAAGGTTTTATGCTGAAAGTTACAGAATCAGAATATAATAAATTTTTGTAGAAACTGTGAGGGGGGGGGGGGGGGGAAGGTGCTAATAAAACATCATTTTTATACTTGGTCAGATGAATATATTTTTAGCTATAGTCAAAATTTACTTATGAAAAATAATCTAATTTTCTTAAAACAGGCTTAAATAGATCTACTAGACACAAATATAAGATTATGCTTTATAAATAATTGAGAAGTTTAACAAAAAAAGAAAGTAAGCATTTGAAGATATTTTTAAAATACATAATATTTGGTGTGGAGAAGATGTATAAGTTCAATTTCTGATGCGAATAAACAAAATGAACAAGGAATTGTAATTATTTAATCCTGTAGTGATATTACACTATAAATATTACCTGCAATGGTAATTTAGAAAGTAGATTTACCTGTATAGGTTTCTCATATGGATATTTCCCAGTGAAATCAAAGAACAACTTGGCACCTAAGATGGCACCAAGCCAGCCATCAGGCCTATAACGTTTCTGGACCATCAAGGGGATGTAATCCTTTCTAAGTTGAAATGTGTACTCAGCCTCTGGTCATGGAAGAATTGTTAAAATTAACCAAAACTAAGTCTAAGTTGAAATGTGTATTTAGCCTCTGGTAAAGGAATAATTTTTAAAATTAATCAAAACTAAGTAAAGCTTGATATTGTTTAATTGTATTTACTACTTCAATATTAATAAATGTTCTTTGTTGTTCTTTTGCCTAGATTTTTAAGAAAGAAATGAATGCTCAGAATAATAACATAATGATAAATATGACTTTGTATTGAAAAGTCAGGTAATGTAGGATCTAAGCCAACAGAGTAAAAACAAAAACTTGAAGGTAATGTCCACATAATGTCTACCACTACACACGTCTACACACTACTGGTCAGTAAAAACAAAAACTTGATGAAGGGAATGTCCACATAATGTCTACCACCACACACATCTACACACTACTGGTCAGTAGAAACAAAAACTTGATGAAAGTAATGTCCATATAATGTCCACCACTACACACTACTGGTCACTAAACACAAAAACTTGATGAAAGTACTGTCCACCCCACACACACCAGTTGACCTCTACCTACCTGTCCTACAGTTTGGACTCTGCTTATATTTCTCTGACATGCACACCAGGACCACGGCAGCGTTCTCTACAGCCTCAGCCATGGCCTGCAGTGTTGACCCTCCCATCTGTTCCCAGTCTACCCAGATCTTGTAGCCCTCAGCCTGACAATGGCACAACACTTATAATCATTGCTACAGCCTACCACAATCATATCCACAGTCTATCACAATCATTACAACAGCCTACCACAATCATAGCTATACATTACTAAGCTTAAAACTAATGCTCCAGCACTTAGAATCTACCCAAATCTGTGTTATAAGACAAAGCTAATACTATGCTACAGCACTTAGAATAACATAATCAGTACTATAATTACTACAACGTTTATATGGACAATAGACACACAACCACAAGAATTAGTACAACGTTTATATGGACAATAGACACACAAACACAAGAATTATTACAGCATTTATGTAAACAAACAGACACACAAACACAAGAATTACTACAACATTTATGTAGACAAACAGACACACAAACACAAGAATTACTACAACGTTTATATGGACAATAGACACACAAACACAAGAATTACTACAATACAATACTCAGAAATAAGAATGTCAGCTGGTAATGAATGTTTACAAATTGAGAGATAATTTGTGAGATAAATACTAGATATGATACAAAGAGAATGCACAGAATACTTACAACAAGGCTTCCATAAATCTTTTTCACTAAATCTTTCTCAGCCCAGCTGTAACTAATGAAGATGTGGTTTTTAGGTGGGTGGGCGCTCTGTGGGCCTGAAACAGAAATATTCAACAGTTTTACACAAATATTGGAGATCTTTACCCAGCACTAGGATGTTAAATGTGAAAGCACAAAACTTGCTTCAATTGATATTATGTCCAAAAGTATTGAGAAAAATAATGGTAGTAAAAGAAATGGCTGTAGTGAATGTGTAACATACGAGTGACACTTTTTTAAATATACGCTCGCATTACAACACAAAAAATAACGTGGAAAAGAAATGGTTGTAGTGAATATGTAACATACAAGTGACACCCTTTAAAATGTATGCTCGCAGTACAAAACAAAACATTACGTGTAAAAGAAATGGCTGTAGTGAATGTGTAACATACGAGCGACACTTTTTTAAATATATGTTCAAATTAAAAAACAAAAAATAACGTGTAAAAGAAATGGTTGTAGTAAATATATAACATACGAGCGACACTTGCAGTGGGGTCGTTCTCCCCTCGGATCATCCACAGCGCCCCCTGGACGTTGTTCTTGACCAGGGGGTTCTCACTGTTCTTCAGCTCCTCCAGGGCTGGCACCAGGTCAGGGAAGTCTATGATGGTCTGTCTGACCGTCTTGTCAAAGGCCAGCGTCCACAGGCACTCAGCGGTGTTGGCCTGTTCTCTCAGGTCAGTGAACCGCAGCATCTGGACAAAGTCTTCCAGCGCTCCTTCTTCTATGATCTGTGGTCAGTTCATGAAAAAGTTGCACTAGTTAATTATTCTATGATCTGTGGTCAGTTCATGAAAAAGTTATTAATTCTTCTATGATCTGTGGTCAGTTCATAATAAAGTTGGACTAGTTAATTCTTCTATGATCTGTGGTCAGTTCATGAAAAGTTGGACTAGTTAATTCTTCTATGATCTGTGGTCAGTTCATGAAAAAGTTTAGTTGATTCTTCTATGATCTGTGGTCAGTTCATGAAAAATTTGTTAATTCTTCTATGATCTGTGGTCAGTTCATGAAAAAGTTGCACTAGTTAATTCTTCTATGATCTGTGGTCAGTTCATGAAAAATTTGTTAATTCTTCTATGATCTGTGGTCAGTTCATGAAAAAGTTGGACTAGTTGATTCTTATATGATCTGTGGTCAGTTCATGAAAAAGTTGGACTAGTTAATTCTTCTATGATCTGTGGTCAGTTCATGAAAAATTTGTTAATTCTTCTATGATCTGTGGTCAGTTCATGAAAAAGTTGGACTAGTTAATTCTTATATGATCTGTGGTCAGTTCATGAAAAAGTTGGACTAGTTAATTCTTCTATGATCTGTGGTCAGTTCATGAAAAATTTGTTAATTCTTCTATGATCTGTGGTCAGTTCATGAAAAAGTTGGACTAGTTAATTCTTCTATGATCTGTGGTCAGTTCATGAAAAAGTTGCACTAGTTAATTCTTCTATGATCTGTGGTCAGTTCATGAAAAAGTTGGACTAATTTATTGTGGCACATAATTTATTTGGCTATATAGTCAGTTAACTTTTTACTGTCTTCTGCGGACAGAGACGGCTGTTCTGTATACACCTTTTTTTTGTTAACTATCATGTTTGATAATTGCATTGAAATTAAAAGTAAAGCTTCATTCATTTTCTTCTGTGAATGACTTATTGTGCTAATTTTGAAATGTACATGGTTTTTAAATTAATTAATTAATCTATGTACCAATGTAAAAATAGTTATGTCCTTTGATTGACCATATGGGTAAAGAAAATGTGGATAGTCAAGGTTTTAAGAAACAGTTAAACTGTAGTTAATTATGGGCCAAGGAATCGTTAGGTAAGAATTCATAATGAACACCAACTAGATAACTTAAAATCACACAAGATCCAATGTGAATAAATCATAAACACCAAACTTAAAAAAGAAATATTTTGTAAAATTATGTTATTTTTAAACATAATGCAGAACTCAAGACCAAAATAAAAGGTAGACAAACCTTGGACTTGTTAGAATCATTGACAGCAAGCTTAGCTAACCCCTGGGTTAACTCCCATGGCGAGAAGCCTCTAAATCTTCTCTTCTGTTTGTTTTCTAAAGCTTTGTGTATCCAGGTTACAATACTCTTGATGGTGTCTGTAAATAAAAGGGACCAGATTAACTAAAGTTATTTCATTAAATTACGGAAGGTGTTTCACTAAATTACAAAGGTTACAATACTCTTGATGGTGTCTGTGAAGATAAAGGGACCAGATTAACTAAAGGTGTTTCATTAAATTACAGTGATTAATTACCAAAAATCTATTTAAAAAGTAAGTTTGTAATTGCTTCAAACATAGACAAAGATATTTCTGCCAATGTTTTCACCAATCACAATGCAACTAAGACTAAAGTAGACAACTCAGTTTATTTTATTTTTTTAGTTTTTAAAAGTGTAAATATTTTCTTGAAATTAAGTCTTACAAAAGCTTACAAGTAACAAAACTATATTTTGATCTGACAAGAATTAAAAAACGTTTAACATTCATAAAGTAATTTTTATTCTCCATACTTACAAAAAAACAAAATTTTTCATATGTGCATGCTAAATAGCTCTTGTTGATTAAAAGATTACCAAATGTGTTAGTCTCACCAGTTTCATCAATAAGCTTAGCATTCTCCTCCTCCTCTACAATATAGGCTAGTGTTAACATGGCGATGGACTTGAGGAATTCATCATTGGCGTTAATTAGTGGCATCACAACCTGTAGAGAGGAACACATGGTTAACTGATGGGACCAGCAATGAAAGTTAAGGGAACATTTATATTTAATAGGTATCGCCAGTCAGATTGGTTTAGATTTTATAACTGACTTTATGCATATGTGGGACAGTGGGGTCCTCCAAGTTCTGATTGGTGTTGAACCAAATACAATTCTCTTTATGGAAACAGAAGATGTGTTGCATCTGTCCCTCTGACCATCAGTATAGTTTAAAAATAACTTGACTTTGTGTTAATGTGGATAAGTGCCAACATTATTGGAAAAATAAACTATGAATCTATCTGAACTATCATAGATTCTATACCTGAATTGTTGTACACAATCTACCTGAATTATTGCAGATAATTCACCTGAATTACAATAGAAATAACACAATAAATCTACTTTGATTGTTAACAAGAAGCACTTGAAACAAGCCCAAATAAAAAAATGCTACCTAAAATATATCTGACTTGGTATACAAATTGATATATCAGCCAGCACCTGTATATATGTCTACACGCATCAATAGTACAAATGGTGCCTAAAATATATCTGACTTGGTATACAAATTGATATATCAGCCAGCACCTGTATATATGTCTACACGCATCAATAGTGCAAATGGTGCCAAAAATATATCTGACTAGGTATACAAGCTTGGAATATAAGCTAGCACCTGGACGTACCTCTACAAGCCTCATTAGAAAAAATGCTACCTAAAATATATCTGACTTGGTATACAAATTGATATATCAGCCAGCACCTGGAACTACCTCTACAAGCCTCAATAGTGCAAATGGTGCCAAAAATATATCTGACCATGTATACAAGCTTGGAGTATAAGCTAGCACCTGGACGTACCTCTACAAGCCTCACTAGACAAAATGCTACCTAAAATATGGACGTACCTCTACAAGCCTCACTAGAAAAAATGATACCTAAAATATGGACGTACCTCAACAAGCCTCACTAGAAAAAATGCTACCTAAAATATATCTGACTTGGTATACAAGCTTGGAATATAAGCTAGCATGTGGACGTACCTCTGCTGTTTTGATTTCCTTGAAATGATGTTTGACCCCAGTGCACCTGGCTATGTTATGTAGGGTACTCAATGAAGCTTTTAAAACATAGTAGACATTCTGCCAGAAGAGACGCATTAGTTTAAGTTAAGCACACTGACTAATTAGCAATCAAACAAGATCATAACTTCCCTGCAAAGAGTTTCATAAAAAAGCACATTAGTAAGCATTGTAATTAACTTAAGCTTAATTGTTTTAATATGGGAAATTATAATTCAATATTGTTAACGAAGCTTTGAATAATTTTAACTTACAAAGGTTAAATAATGAACGCCCTGATAAATTAAAAAATAAATGGTTGGAGTGGGACTTTGATTGAGGCAAATAAAAATTTAGCCTCACCCTCCAATCACACCACTGACCTGTGACCTTCCCCCATCTACACACAAAATTATTTTCTGCTGCACCTTATGTTTTAAATAAAAGGGAGGGCGATTCTGTTTCACAACATGAGATTATCTACGGTTAAAATGGATTACTTCCCTTGAATATTCAGATTGTAAGGTAATGATAGCCGGCTCTTTTACTTTCTTCAAGAAATAATGTTTAGTTGGCCCAGATCACTTAATACCATGGTATAAATGTTCTAGACCACTTAATACCATGGTATAAATGATCTAGACCACTTAATACCATGGTATAAATGTTCTACCTAGAGCACTTAATACCATACAATGGTATAAATATATATCAAGACCATTATTCAAGTTATTTTCAACTATATGATTAGTTCTGTCAAAAACATATAAGGGAAATGATATAAATATACATGCTATTGATTTTTGTGTGGGTGTGTCAAGGGGCTTCTGGAGGCTGGGTCAAATAATTTTGGGTCAAGTGCTATTTATGCCGCTTGTTATTTTAAGGTGATTACCATATATGGTCATTTAGTATGTATCATGTGAATATTCTACTATATAATTTACTATTGAAAGAAATAAACTGAATGAGAAAACAATGTATAGATTTAAGACCTCAACCACACTGTTTGAGGTCTGTGTGAGGGTTTCACCCTTTAATAACACTATCACATTTTGTAAGAGTTCCGCTACTGATATACCCTCTAAAATGCCATTACTTAGTCATAAACAGGGTTGAATGAACTTGACCGAGTACTCAATAAATTTCTACTACAGGTTTATTTACACTGCTACTGTCATCAACTCAGTATATCATTAGAACAGTAGTTGATATGACACATCACAAGCCTAGATCCTACTAACTCACTGGCAGTATACAGCAGCACAGGTTCTACATCAAACATCACCATTTACCATATGCATTTTTACATTAAATATATATATATATATATATATATATATATATATATATATATATATATATATATATATATATATATATATATATATATATATGGTTCCATGACAAATGATCTCAGGACAAATGATCTCAGACAAAATATCTCACAGACAAATGATCTTAGGACAAATGATCTCAAGGACAAAAGATCTCACGGGCAAAAGATACCAGGACAAAATATATCAGGACAAATGATACCATGGACAATTGATCTCAGACAAAATATCTCAGACAAAATATCTCACAACTAAATTTCAATAGTATATACAATGATTTTAGTTGATTTAAACATTTTTTTAAATTGACTATCAATAAGGCTTTTGTTTACTTTTTTATGAGTAATAATTGTGATTAAAATGAATTTCTTAAACTTAACAAAGCATCAAATTATGTATTAAATGTAATCTTTGTAATAGCATTTGATTTGAAAAAGTAAAAATTAAAACAAACTTACTTCTGAAAAGTGTAATAAATGATAATGTATAGAACAAATACAGTAACGGTAGCTATAGTGAAATATTTCTTTTTATATGTGAACATGTCGTTAGGTTCGTAACGTAAAACTATTATTTTTATTGCATCTTCAACACAAACATAACGCTTACGTTTCTTTGCTGGCAGGTACATCGTTATGGTCACACCTCTCCAATACAATGTGATCATGTACGCCTATTGTGTGAACTCTTGCTCTACATGTTCTAACTTCACATTTCCAAATATCTTTACCTGCTGCTCAATTTATGGTTTTTATAAACATAAATTCACCAGAAACTAATGTCCTAAAACCTTTCTTCGAGGTAACGAAAGAGGCCATGATTGAGTAATCACCACTAATACTGCTTTGTTTGCATGCATACAACGACAAACTTAGCTCCGCGATGACCGCTGTTGTTTAACTAAGCATTTGTCACCTGATCACTAAGGTGTGACCCACGCATAACTATTGACTTTAGGTGCTAGTTGTATTGTCCATGGAGGGCGGATGTCTTTCCCTTAAGCCATGTCTCTGCCATCAAAAAGGACGGCCACCTTGATACGAGGGTGTGTTTTTATTGTTATTTCATTCCCTTCTATCTAGTTAAGTCCACCTGACATGGTGGGATTGTCTCATGTTTGGCAAGCTCACCTAGGCTGTCTATCGAAATATTTCTTTAATCTTCACACTCTATATTAGTAATCTTAATTGTAAAAAGTTTAGTGCAATATGACTAATTTATGAGGCAAACATTCCTTAAAATTATTATATAGGACTAGAAACAATATTAAATATAGTAAACAATACCATATGACAGTCAATAAAAATGTTCAGATTAGCTAAAATCATCCAATATACTAATACAATTTTGCTGTGAGATATTTTGTCTGAGATATTTTGTCTGAGATCATTTGTCTATGATATCATTTGTCCTGATATATTTTGTCCTGGTATCTTTTGCCCGTGAGATCATTTGTCCTGAGATCATTTGTCTGTGAGATATTTTGTCTGAGATCATTTGTCCTGAGATCATTTGTCCTGTCACCATAATATATATATATATATATATATATATATATATATATATATATATATATATATATATATATATATATATATATATATATATATATATATATATATATATATATATATATATATATATATCACTAAGATTCATTAGCACCAAATTACCCTGATAAAACACACATCAGTCAGTAAGAAAATAATAACTGGACAGTCAGACTACCATTAAAACAGACTGAGTTTATCTGAGTGATAAGCACGTCCAGTTGCCTTACCTTACTGTGCATGTTGTCTAGGTAAGGTTTGTGGCCCAGGTTAAGTGTCATCAGCTTGACTGCCCCAGCCTCAGCCAAACACTGAAACACAGAACACATCAGTTATATTACAGAACACATCAGTTATATTACAGAACACATCAGTTATATTACAGTACACTTTATATTACAGTATATATTAATTATATTACAGAACATTACATTACAGCACATGTTATATTACAGCATATCATATTACAGAACACATCAATTATATTACAGCACATTACATTACAGCATGTTATATTTTAGCACACTTTATATTACAGTACATTATATTACAGTACACAATATATTTTAGCACACATTATATTACAGTACACATTATATTTTAGCACACTTTATATTATAGTACACATCATATCACAGAACACTTTATATTACAGCACATTACATTGCAACACACATTATATTTTAGCACACTTTATATTACAGCACACTTTATATTAAAGCACATTATATTACAGAACACTTTATTTTCACAGCACATTATATTAAAGTGCACAATATATTACAGGACACAGTATATTGCAGCACATTACATTACAGTAAACATTATATTACACTTTAGACAAATGCAGCATACATTATTTATATTAGAGCTTCAATCATAGGCCTGTACTTGAAATAAATGATTAATATAGCATCACTTTCAAACAATAATCACTACAACTTTATCAAGTTTGGTCTACATTTATGACTATATGCTATATTTATATTATAAAAATATACATTTCTAAACATAGAAGATTAATTTAAAAAAAAACATTGCATCCTGATAGCTTAGATATTTCTTAACTTAAGGGTTAGGATAAGGGCTAGTTTCTATACTGATACCATGTTATTTTATAAAATGTGTTTTAAAGTAGAGTACAAATAAACCCACATAAACAAAGTTCAGTTTAACCGACTCAGCATAAATACAAACATTTGATAAAAAAAATTTCAAACCATTAACAAGACGTTGAACAAATTAAAAAAAAATTGTTTTAAAAAAAGCTGAGGCAATTTCCCCAGCTATTCTTATGTGTACGGGTCAGGTTTTTATGAGCATGTTCCACAATGGCAGACATGCAGGGTAGACATGCCGGGCAGGTGCTGTGTGTGGTGCAGGCTTCCTGTAAACAACAGCAGCACCAGGTCTAGTGCATGTTCCCCAGCACGTCATTTGACACAGACAATAATTGATATGGAGGCTGATGGCTTACGTCTGGTCATCAGCAGAGGTGGATGACATCAGGCATGGGGGGGGGGGGGGTGTTAACATCAGGCTACATCATCATGGGGGAAGGGGGGGGGGTTAACCAGGCTACATTATCATTTGGGGGGATGTAACAGCAGGCTACTTTTAAATGGGGGGGGGGGGGGGGGGGCAGGTGTAACATCAGACTACATTATCATGGGGGAAGGAAGGTAACCAGGCTAGATTATCATGTGGGGAGGGGGTGTAACTAGGCTACATTATCATGTGGGGGGTGGTAACATCAGTCTACACCAGGGGTCTCCAAACTTTTCAGCCCGAGGGCCGCATTAACTATCAAATATCTGCTCGGGGGCCAGAGTTTCCAGGCATCTGTTTGGTGTGGCAGGCAGCGCCCCCGCCCCCCGACTAAAAATAAATTATATAGAAATGTATACAAATTTCTAGTACCCCCCCCCCCCCCCCCCCCCCCCCGTCTTGGATAAAAAAGTCTGAAAAACTGAAAAATAAACACTGTCGGCGCCGACAAAACACTCAATGTCCAAGTTTGTTCTCAAATTGTTCTTCGCGTATTTTACTCTTGAAAATGTTTGTTCACACAGGTATGTTGCTCCAAACTTTGAAAGGTAGGTAGTTTGATGCAAAAGTTTCAATATTAGGAAGGTCTTGAGTAAAAAACTTATAAAATCCCACCCGCCCTTCTGTAAACTTGTCTCTAAGGAGGTCATTTGCCTGCAATTCTATGACCTCCAGCTGTAGTTCAACTGGGCACATTTGCTTCAAATGTATTTTAAAACAGTTTCACTTCTTCTGCCTTTGAATCCAAGTCAGAAAACCACTACTGAAACTGCAGCTGGGTGTCTTTGATGATCTCGCATGGACATGACGTAAAGGTTCCTCAGCCACCTCCAACAAAAGTTGATTTTTTTTTGTGGACATCAAGATCCCCGCAGGCTGTAGTTTGGAGACCCCTGGTCTACACTATCAGGTGCCGATAACATCAAGCTAAATTTGAATGATCTTCAATATTAGGCTACATTATTTTTGGTAGATACAATCAGATTACATTATTTTTGGTAGATACAATCAGATTACATTATTATGGGCAGATAATTGCACCACATCAACTTTGGAAATAACACCATATCAGCATACACGTATAACATCTCTACACCAACATCATTGGATAACATAATATTACTATATTAAATAGATAACCTATCAACAACAGGCATATCATAGGTGAGTAACATCAACACATCATGAGGGGATAACATCAGATAATTACAGGTACATATCATAACATCACCAAACACTTTAAACATCACCATAGATATATACAACAATCATATCACCACAAGAATTTGACATCACCACAGGGATAAAATGTGACATTACTACAAGAATTTGACATCACCACCAAATATAACATTATCATGTCACCTGAGGCATACAACACCACCACAGGCATACAACAACACCACTACAAAAATACAACAGCATCACCACAGGCATATAATAACATCACTACAAGCATACAACATGTGCATCACTGACCCGTGCTAGCTTCTCACTAGAGTCGCTGTAGTTCCAACATGTGTTGTAGGTGTAGTAGGTGGGGAACCAGATGTCGTCATTTTTAAATATACCAAGGCTGTTCATCTGTCTCAACATGTTGATGGTGATCTCTGAGAAAAGTTGGGGCAGTGTTAGAATAAAAGTACATTTGTAGCCAAATATTTATGGTCCAAAATTTAATCTGTTCATCTGTCTCAACATGTTGATGGTGATCTCTGAGAAAAGGTGGGCCAGTGTTAGAATCAAAGTAAAGTACATTTGTAGCCAAATACTTATGGTCCAACATTTCATCTGTTCATCTGTCTCAACATGTTGATGGTGATCTCTGAGAAAAGGTGGGGCAGTGTTAGAATAAAAGTACATTTGTAACCAAATATTTATGGTCCAAAATTTAATCTGATCATGTCTCAACATATTGATGGTGATCTCTAGGAAAAGGTGGGGCAGTGTTAGAATAAAAGTACATTTGTAGCCAAATATTTTTGGTCCAAAATTTAATCTTTTCATCTGTCTCAACATGTTGATGGTGATTTCTGGGAAAATGTGGAACAGTGTTAGAATCAAAGTAAGTACACTTGCAGCAAAATATTTATGGTCCCACATTTAATCTGTTGATCTGTCTTAACATATTGTCAATATTGATAGTGATTTCTGAGATAGGTAGGGCGGTGTTAGAATAAAAATTTAAGTACATTTGTATCCAAATATTTATGGTCCAACATTTAATCTATTCATCTGTCTCAACATTTTGATGGTGATTTCTAAGAACAGGTGAGGCAGTGTTAAAATCTAAGTAAAGTACATTTGTAGCCAAATATTTATGGTCCAACAATTAATCTGTTGATTTGCCTCAACATATTGTCAATATTGATAGTGATTTCTGAGAATAGGTGGGGCGGTGTTAGAATAAAAAGTTAAGTACATCTTTAGCCAAATATTTATGGTCCAGCTGGTGAGGTTAAGTAATTACTTGTTTACCTAGTGACTCCGATAAATCACTCTGAGAATAGGAAATATTGTTATAATAATTAATACTTTAAAACCATATTGAATTCAGTAAACCCAACAGCTAAATTACACATTCTTAAGTTTTTCATAAAACAGACTAGACAACGGTGCCTAATGAGTTAAAGAGTGTTGGTTATATCTTTGTTAAGGAAAGGAGATTAAAACAAATGTTTTCTTTGCATTAGCTGCACAAAGAGGACAAGTAAAAACACATGAATGCACAACAAACAGGTTTGGGTCTAAAACTTGAAAGGTAGCGTTTGAATGAAGGAAAACAACACACGGTGGGAGGGGTTGATTAATGTCAAAGTGAATAGCCTTAGCTCCGGAAAAATGGAAATGTAAACAAAATGCTACAGCACATATACAGCAGGCCAGGTTGTTGTTTTTTATTCTGCGTTCTTAATTCTAGTGCTGGTAGGGATTCTCTCCAACACAATTAAGCTTTACGTGTCAATTTGTTATGCGCAATATAGTTTGTTGACCTATATATAGGTTGTTAGCCTGATTTTCTTATTGGATCTTCTTCCATAGCCTCTGTCCAACTAAGAACAAACTGCAAGAGGCTGTTGTTTGATTTTGGAGTTGTCTCTCCTAGATAAGTAGCTGTCCCTTGCCATCAAGTCTCATCTGTCGGGGGGGGGGGGGAGAGTTGAATTCTGGACTTTTAGTTAGTTTCAGCAGTGCAGCCTTGAGTTTTACCAACCTGACCTTGAAGATCTCCAAGTCCAGGTTTAAAACATTGACAACCTTACCCCCCCCCCCCATTGCTCTAATTTTGCATCTTCACAATGAGTCCGACCCCCCCTTTAAAATAAGCTCCACCCAAACCCCTAAACCTATTACAGCTCTAACATCAACATGTTTTACACATATTTGAGACGCTCAACATAAATTTCTCAACACTCCCCATCCCTCTAATACAATCATCATAAAAATCAAAAACTTACTCCATCACATTCATCACATTAGTTTAGGGTGACCCCAGGAGTCTGGTATATATTGTGGGTGGGTGGACTCTAACAAACCAGACATGGGAACAAAACTTAATGCTAATGTGAGCAGTCAGATGTTTCATTAGTCAACCACACCCTCGCCTCCCCATCATGTGCACACTGCACAGTTATCTCCCTGACCAGCTTATGTTGAGCATAAGCTCAAGGGGGTGCTAGGGGAGGTAACTATAACCTCAGGGGGTGCTAGGGGAGGTAATTATAAGCTCAGGGGATGCTAGGGAAAGTGACTCAGGGGGTGCTAGGGGAGGTATTTATTAGCTCAAGGGATGCTAGGGAAAGTAACTCAGGGGGGTGCTAGGGGAGGTAATTATTAGCTCAAGGGATGCTAGGGAAAGTAACCATAAACCCAGGGGGTGCTAGGGGAGGTAATTATTAGCTCAAGGGATGCTAGGGAAAGTAACTCAGGGGGTGCTAGGGGAGGTAATTATTAGCTCAGGGGATGCTAGGGAAAGTAACTCAGGGGGTGCTAGGGGAGGTAATTATTAGCTCAGGGGATGCTAGGGAAAGTAACTCAGGGGGTGCTAGGGGAGGTAATTATTAGCTCAGGGGATGCTAGGGAAAGTAACTCAGGGGGTGCTAGGGGAGGTAATTATTAGCTCAGGGGATGCTAGGGAAAGTAACTCAGGGGGTACTAGGGGAGGTAATTATTAGCTCAAGGGATGCTAGGGAAAGTAACCATAAACCCAGGGGGTGCTAGGGGTAGTGACCATAACTAAATTTTATGTGGAAAACATTTTTTCATTGGCTTGACTGAGAATCTGCTTTGAAAGGAAAATACTTTCCTTTTTTTATTTTTTAAGGCTTGTTTGGAATATGTGCCTTAATAGTTATCCGTGATAAAAAAAAAGAACCACACTTAATATATATGGTTAAGATAATTTTAACATATTTAACCCAAACTACTGACCAGCATATCCCAGGTCTGCTAGATAATCCCCAATCTCTGATCTCTCTGCAGGATAATCCCAGTACATGTCACCTATAGCCTTCTGGTACTTCATGCCGTCACCATGGTGATACTCCTCCATGGTCTTCAGCTCTGACACCATCAGGTTGACCCTCTCCTTGACCTGGTCCAAGGTCAAGTTTTTGGCCCTTGAGTCCAGGTCTATTTTGAGTGGAGTGTTGGTGGTTTTCTGAGGTGGGAAAATCAATACATTCAATGTTTAAATGTAGTATTGTTAGATTTTTAAAGTGGGAAAATAAAGACTTTCAAATGAATATTTTATGTAGCGTTGTTAGATTTCCAAAAAAAGGGAAAATAAATACAGTCATTCTTAATAAACATCTTTTTTCATAATCAAAGTCATTGTTCACTAATACATTACAGTCTCTATTTTGTGTACCACAAAAAGACATAACATTTTGTTTTTTATATTTATAAAATATCATTCTTTGTTATCCAATATCAAAATCATTCTTAACCTAGGACATTCTTAACATTATAGATTAGAACCAAGTCAACATATGCCAATATTCTTGATAGGTTTTAGAGCAAATTCAGAGAGAAGAATGAGCATACACATAAAGGAAAGATACATGTGTATTTGTTAGCAAGTGAAGCAGTTGTCATTTTGTTATCACTTTAGCATGCTTTGGATGTGGACTTTTATAATATTTAATATTGAGCTAATTAAGTGAAGGGTTGTAGGCTAACCTTGTGGTTGTTATTGTGCTATGTCCAGCAGGGGGGGGGGAGAGAACATATCGACCACTGGCTCACCTTGAGGTCTCTGTTGTGCTATGTCCAGTAGGGGGGGGGGGGAGGGGGAGAACATAGCATTGACCACTGGCTAACCTTGTGGTTGTTATTGTGCTATGTCCAGCAGGGGGGGGGGGGGGGAGAGAACATATCGACCACTGGCTCACCTTGAGGTCTCTGTTGTGCTATGTCCAGTAGGGGGGGGGGGGAGGGGGAGAACATAGCATTGACCAATGGCTTACCTTGTGGTTGTTGTTGTGCTATGTCCAGCAGGGGGGGGGGGGGAGAGAACATAGCATTGACCACTGGCTCACCTTGAGGTCTATGTTGTGCTATGTCCAGTAGGGGGGGGGGAGGGGGAGAACATAGCATTGACCACTGGCTTACCTTGTGGTTGTTGTTGTGCTATGTCCAGTAGGGGGGGGGGGGAGAGAACATAGCATTGACCACTGGCTTACCTTGAGGTCTCTGTTGTGCTATGTCCAGTAGGGGGGGAGGGGGAGAACATAGCATTGACCAATGGCTTACCTTGTGGTTGTTGTTGTGCTATGTCCAGTAGGTGGGAGTGAGAGAACGTAGAATTGACCAATGGCTCACCTTGTGGTTGTTGTTGTGCTATGTCCAGCAGGGGGGGGGGGGTGAGAGAACGTAGAATTGACCAATGGCTCACCTTGTGGTTATTGTTGTGCTATGTCCAGCAGGGAGTAAGAGAACATAGCATTGACCAATGGCTCACCTTGTGGTCCATGTTGTGCTATGTGGGTGAGAGAACGTGGCATTGACCAATGGCTTACCTTGTGGTTGTTGTTGTACTATGTGGGTGAGAGAACGTGGCATTGACCAATGGCTTACCTTGTGGTTGTTGTTGTGCTGCGGACTGGCCTTGTCCAGCTTGTCCTCGGCAGCGTCAACATGGTTGGCAGCCGACGTGACCCTGTGGTTGGATCTGCTGGAATCATTGTTCATCATGACGTCATCAGATTCCTGGACGCTCACAGGGCCATCTAAGGGAGAGAAATGAACAACGTTAACACGTGGTTGTCTCCCGCGTCGTGCGTATTTGTAGGTCTTGAAAAAGGGAGAGAATTCAAAGTTTCCACGCGGTTGTCTTCAAAGGGCATCGTCAGAAATTTTTTCAAGGGGGGTTAAAGTTGGTTAGTGGAATATATATATATATATATATATATATATATATATATATATATATATATATATATATATATATATATATATATATATATATATATATATATATATATATATATATAATGGCCTAGAGATATAGACAGAAACAAACATTTTTTAAAGTTTATATCGAGCATAAAAAAATTACATTTATACTGAAGCAAAATAAACATAAGGGTCATTAAATTAAACTGTGAAAAAAGATTTCACCCGTGAAGATCTACATCCAAAGTGCCCAATCATCAAAGAAGATGTGAATACCTCTACTCATTTGTTTTTTTGCAAAGAAAGCTGATGATAACGTCATTTATTTACATGGGTAAATAAAAATATTCCATGTTATGTTAAAATTCCTACCCCCACGCAGATTTAATGCAATTTTGGGACATGTTTCCTATTTGGTTCAAAACAACTGTTCACGTCACGGGAATGGCATTTGAGATTGTCTTTAGAACAGCCTCGTCCATGATAAAAATAATACTACAAAAATGTGAAGACCTTGGGACAATTCATCACTTCTGTCAAGGAAATACCAATAACTCTAAACAAGTTTCTTTTTCTACGCGGAATTCCCTGATTCTATTTATACCACACGAAAGTGGGATAAAAAAAATTATGCAAGATAATCCTCGCTGGTAAAAGGTTTATAATTTTTACGAAGAAAACTTCCTCGGTCCAAAAAACAACAACGTTATGTTTTAGCCCCACAAAAAATGATGGGATGAGTTGAATGTATTTCAAGTTTTCATACAGAAAGATGTGTTGAGTGGTGCACGGGCGGGCTAAGCTGTTATAGGGTTTGTTGACTGAAACGTTTACCACAACAACTTCATACCGCTAGGAGTTTTTCTTAAAGCTTTTGGAAAAAAACAATTATTTTAAAGTACATTAGAGTGTAAGCATGTATACAGGTCATACATCGGGGAATCCCGTTACACTCACTACATCCACAGGCAAAAAAAAATGTATGCAAAGCGGGGGATAGTTTTATAGAATGTGCATTGTGGTTTCAGTCGTTAAGTTTTTGGGTGCAGCTGTTTGTAGTGGTGGGTTGGGCTGTTGTCTTGTGTGTAGTAGTGGGTTGGGCTGTTGTCGTGTGTATTTCATCAACCTAGCTGTAACGGTACTCACGGTTTGCACGATTACAATACTTTATATATGCTTCGTATAAAATGTACGCAGCATATGCTTTATAATCTCAAAAATAATATATGAAAAAAAAACCACTTCACTTTAGACGTTTAAATATCGTTTGTATTTATTAAAAAATCAAAAGGGCGCAAATTTGCTGGTATTGAT